CCTCAGGAGTAAGTGGTGCTGTTGTAGTACATTGATGATTCTTTTTCTTTCTCAGGAGAAAAAACAGCCATGTATATATACTCTTCTTTCCTCCTATACGCTGCCCTCTATTTCGTCCTTCACCTGTGATTGGCCAAGGTCTGGGTACACACAGTTGCACTAGATTAACTGAAGATGTGATTTCAAAGCACTTTAGTTGAATTGGTGCAATTCTTTGTATGTACTCTGTTAGCTTGCCGCTCTACATTTTAGTTCTCAAAACCCATTGCATATTAAAAAGGTCTGAAAGCACCTTTCTGTCACAGTTCAGGGCAACTGAACCTGTAATCCCCCTCTGTGGTCCAACATGGGCTACTCTTAAGTATCTGGCTCCCCAGCTGTCACCTCTCTTGGGTGGAAAGACATGTCTCTCTCCTTCCTGACCAGGATATTTTCTGCCTGTCTATGCTGTGAATTCCTTAGCAAGTCAGACTGCATAAACAGGCATGCTTTGCATTCTCCTCCGAAGCAATGAACAGCATAATTGCCCACAGTTAACCACACAGCTTTTTCTAAGCAAACACATTTATTCTTAAAGTGGAAGCATTACAGGGAAAACATATTAAAAACAATAAAAGGACCTACATGCATGCTAGTAAGTTTACCAGAGATCACCCTTAAGTCCAACAGGGCTCTGGCAGGAGATCAGACCTTCAGATCCCACACTGGGGGGGTTTTCTGTGGTTTAAGTTCATAACATCTTTTGCTCAGAATAAGAACATCCATGAGTATGAGAGTTACTCCTTTATACAGATTAGGTCTTTGATCTGCAGAGACTGTGAATAGGTGATAAACCAGACAATGGTCCCCTCTTCAGGGTGAAGCGTCAAAAGGTCACAGTCTTGTGTCTAGGATACTGTACATAGTTTCAAATAGTCCTTTTGAAACTCATAACACTTCCCAGGGTTTACAATAGTCATGTCTCCCCCCTAGATAAGTTGCATACGGTCCCATGATAATACATAAACATTTGCATTTTCAATTCAGTGAACTCTTAAACTTGATTCAAGAAGGTTTAATTTAATTCAGTAAGGTTTGTCCAGGATATTACAGAAATTATACCATATCAATCACACGTTTAAACGTGAGTCTCAATTTGAGCATGACTGCTAAATTTCTGGTGAAAATGAATGACTGTTTTACAGTGGTGACAAAAAATAGAAGCAAGTATATTGAATAAATGAACGTAGGAGATATATGAAATGTATATTGATGGGTAGGTTAAGACAGCACTTTGTCCCCCAAGTTGCCCTGTGAAAGATCTTACACTGAAGCAGTTAATTGCATGGATAATACATTTCTCCTATCCCATATTAAATACACAACAGCTCTTGAAACTCACCTTCCTTACCTGGATGATTAAATGTGCTAGACGATAATTGTGCTGTGACATTTTGAACTAGGAATCATAGAACAATAGAAATGTAGGGCTGGCAAGGACCTCAAAGTCATCAAGGCCAGCCCTCTGTGCTGAGGGAGAACAAAGTAAACCTAGACCATCCCTGACAGCTGTCTCTAACCTGTTCTTAAAAATTCCCAATGATGGGGCTTCTACAACCTCCCTTGGAAGCCTATTCCAGTGCTTAACTATCCTTATTTTAGAAAGCTTTTTCCCAATGTCTAATATAAATCTCCCTTGCTGAAGATTAAATCCATTTCTTGTCCTGCCTCTAGAGGACATAGAGAACACTTGTTTACCATCCTCTTCCAAAATGTTAAGGGCTGTTATAAAGACTATCAGGTCCCACCTCTGTCTTCTTTTTTCAAGACTAAACATGCCCAATAGTTATAACTTTTCCTTATAGGTCACGTTTTCTAAACCTTTTATCATTTTTGTTGCTTTTCTCTGAGCTGTCTTCAATTTGCCCACATCTTTCTGAAAGTGTGGCGCCCAGAATTGGACACAGTACTCCAGCTGAGGCCTCACCCGTTCTGAGTAGAGTCGGACAATTACCTCCCTTGTCTTACATATGACACTCCTGTTAAATACACCCCAGAATATTAGCCTTTGTTGCAACTGCATCGCATTGTTGACGCAATTTGTGATGCACGATAGCCCCCAGAGCCTTTTGAGCAGTACAACCATCTAACCAGTTACTCTGCATTTTGTAGTTATGCATTTGAGATTTTCCTTGTTACGTGAAGTACTTTGCACTTTTCTTTATTGAATTTCATCTTGTTGAATTTAGACAAATTCTCCAATTCGTCAAGGTCATTTTAAATTCTAGTTCTGTCCTCCATAGTGCTTGCAACCTCTCTCAGCTTCTTGTTATCCACAAATTTTATAAACTCCATTATCCAAGACATGAATGAAAATATTGAATAATACCAGACCCAAGATATGCCCTTCCAGTTTAACAGCAAACCATTGATAACTATACTTTGAGTACTGTCTTTCAACCAGTTGTGCACTCACCTCAGAGTAATTTCATCTAGACCACATTTCCCTAGTTTGCTTATGAGAATGTCATGTGGGACTATGTCAGAGTCCTAAAATCAAGATATATCATCTACTGCTCTCCCTTCTCCCCCATCTACTAGGCCAGTAACTCTGTCAATGAAGGAAATTAGGTTGGCTTGGCATGATTTGTTCTTGACAAATCTATTCTGGCTATTACTTATAACCCTATTATCCTCTAGGTACTTGCAAATTGTTTAATTTTTTCCAGTATCTTTCCAGGTATCGATGTTAGGCTGACTGGTCTGTAATTCCCTGGGTCCTCTTTGTTATCCTTTTTAAAGGTAGGTAGTCCGTTTGCCATTCTTCAGTCTTCTGGCACCTCACCTGTCTTCCTGGAGTTCTTGAAGATAATTACTAACAGTTCCAAGATTGCTTCAGCTAGTTCCTTAAGTACCTTAGGATGGCCCCTGCCAATTTGAATACATCTAATTTATCTAAATATTCTTGAAATTGTACTTTCCCTATTTTGGCTTATGCTCCTTCCCCTTGTGTTTAATATTAATTGTGTTGAGTATCTGGTAACCATTTCCCTTTTTAGTGAAGACAGAAGCAGAATGGACATTATACACCTCAACATAGGTACATACAATTGCTTGGGACAAATATGACACGCTCCTCAAGAGTGTGAATCCATATGAACAGTTGGTTCAAACACCAGCAACCATGTGTGGGTTTTTTTTTTTTTTTTTTTTTTTTTTCAAGAAATGAGCTTTGGGAATGTACTAAAATGTAGAGGGGTTTGTCTACATTTTATGTTCTGATAAGGTACCAGTTAAATCTGATTATGGCTCGTCCTTTAAATGTATCACTCATAGCATCTCTGCCATATTTTATAATTTCTACATAGAGTGATTTCATTATGTATCTGTCCAGGCAGTTTCTCTCTTGCCAGTAATTTTTTAATTTCCTTAGGCTGGTAGAAAATAAGGGCTTGTTCACACTTGCAAATGTACTGAAATAGCTGTTCCGGAATAATTATTCCAGAGTAGTTATTTTGGTATAAGCCCCAGTTTACACACATTCTCATATATGAGTGCCTTTTTAATTCATTTATTCCAGAATGAGTATTCACACAGAGGCTTAGACCAAAATAACTATTCCCGAAAATGTCCAAATGTAGACAACCCTGAAGATAAAGGAACATACTCTGTATCCAGCTTCCAGGAAGTTTCACATCTACTCCAGCTGGAACAAAGATGCATTATCATTCTGGGCTGATCTACACCGGAATTAATGATCATGTTTTAACACTTGTGAATGCATCAGAAAGTTCTAGTGTAGACAAGAACACAGTCATAATAATCATTTTAACTGGTCAAAGTTAACTGTAGTGTCCTTGTGTATATACTAGAGCTTTCATTTGTTAGTAAACACGTGTTAAAACAATTTTTAATTCAAATGTAGACATGCTTATGTACAGTACCTCACAAGAGTGTTATGAAGCTTACTTCACTAATGTTTGCCATGTGCTTTTGATATTTGGCACTATGGTGCTTTAACCCTTTGACCCAATCTGTAAGAATTTTAAGTGTTCAGCATCCGATTAGTGCTAAGTAGTTGTTTATAAGTATTCATAGGTAAGTGTCTTCCTTGGAATTTCATCGTGCTAAATATGAAGTGTGGGTGTCTTGGGGCAAGTTGGCATGCTTTGTATGGTTTTAGTTAAAGTACATTGAATGGTTGGTAGCCATACTACTAAGGCAGAAGAATATGCCTGGAAAGTGTTACGCTGTGTACTTTTACATGGCTACATGTGTTTGGGAGCTACCTTGGGACTTGCACATTTCAGGCTGTGCGCTTTTGAGAAAGCTGCAGAATCTTAGTACTAAAAAGAGATATTGAATAGTATATTAGGGGTTTGTGCTCCATCCCTCAGCATCTCTTTCTTCATACTGCAGTCTCAGAGAAGGCTGCTTCATTTCCTTCTCAAAGAGTGAAGCAAGCATGGCTACTTCTGTAAGGGAGAAGATTAAATTGATATGTAAAATGGCCCAGAATAAAGGATTAAGTAAAAGAAAGTATACCTATGTGCACAAGGCTCTTGTCAAGGTTGGGGGCAAATGAGATTTTATTTGAATGCCTGGAGTCTTGACAGCTAGCAGAGAAGCAATCCTATTCAAGACTGAACTGTAATTTTGTATAATTTTTGCTAGTGCACTGCTTCTTGGATTTTTAGCTCAGCAGTAAACTCTGTTTCAGATACTATGTATTCTTAGTCAACAGTCTCTGTCAGTGCATATCAACTAGTGGCATTTGTATTTTGTGGCTCTATAACTTATACACCTCTACCCTGATATAACGCTGTCCTCGGGAGCCAAAAAAATCTTACCACATTATAGGTGAAATCGCATTGTATTGAACTTGCTTTGATCCGCCGGAGTGCACAGCCCCGCTCCCCCGGAGCACTGCTTTACCGCGTTATAGCCGAATTCGTGTTATATCGGGTCACGTTATATCGGGGTAGAGGTGTAATAGAATTATTTTGTGCTTTATATTTCAGTGATAGACGTTTGCTACAACCTGCTCAGGTATGTGACATTTTCAAAGGAGTTATATTGGTCATCTGCTACTTCATGATGCACTATGTTGACTACTCTATGATGTACCATCTGATAAGAGGACAGTCTGTCATAAAACTCTACATCATCTACAACATGCTGGAGGTAAGGGCATTGGCATCAAAAGGAAATGTCAAAGTATGCTTTCTTTCAGGATATCTAATACAACATATTGTTATGACTTTTGTACTTTGTACATCTCTCCAATATAGTAAGTAGAAAGATGTTAAACCTCAAGGTGGACTTTAACGTATAGTAAAATAGACGTGGACATGAAAATATCTATGAGATGCTTCCATAAAAAAGGGTGCAACAACTTTGTTATACATCCTCTTTCCTAAATCTGTTTCCTGTAATGCAGTCAGAGTTAATTAAAATAAATAAATTTTAATAAAAAAATGAGAAAGTGAGAAATAGAAAATGGAGAAGACACTGAAACTTGAGATTATAATAGTTTGAAAAAATTAATATTTGAAATAGGAAGAGCTACTGAGAAGGTTTTGCCCACTAGTGGCAAAATCCTATGGAAGAACAAAGAAAAGGCAAAAGGTAGATGAAATTTATCTGTTTACATTTTCTTCTAAAAAATGTGCCTTTTAGTATGCTTAAGCTTGTCTACAAAAACCGAAATCAGTACTTTCAACCTCTCCCAATCCATACCATCAGAGAAAAGTCTTGAGTGCATGGATAGAGTTTAGAGGAGTGTTAGAGAAACAGGCGAGGGAAGCAGAGAGAGAGAAGGTCTGTGAGGTAGGATAAAGGGAAGTCCTGTAAAAACTCAAAGTATTTGTGTAACAGGGTTCATGCACCACTGTGGCGCCGGCTGTCTTGGGAATTAGCTCTGTGCCCTCTTCAGGTGGTGTCTCACCACCATCACTCCTGCTCTAGGATCCACGTCTCTCCAAGGACCGTGACATCCTCTTCAGTCACACAGCCCTCTGGCGGTGCCACACACCTTGCTACCCACTTCCGGGGGACTTGCAGTCTGCTGTTCAGCCACTTCCATTAGTGGCTACTGCAGCGTATTGTCTGGCCACCTCCTCATGGCCCCAGCATCCTCTTTGCCCTTGCCTCAGGGACTCCTCCTGCAAACCCCAGCAGTCAGCCAGGAGCTGTTTCTCGCTCCCCCCCGGTCCCTGCTCGCAGCACTGCTCTGTCCTGGGTGCTGGCAGTTCTCTCAGCCCTCCAGAGGCACAGTCCTTCCTCCCTGGGCTCCCAGCAGAGAACTGCCCTCCTCTGCCCTGCAGCTCCCTTTTTATATGGGCCTGCTTGGCCCTGATTGGCTGCTCCTTTCAGCCCTTCTCTGATTGGCTGCCTCCTGCATAGCCTCCTTAGGGCTCTATTGACCCCTTAGAGCCCGGTGTGGGGCAGGCGCCCCATCACAATCTGTTTTTGTATTATTCATTATTATTATTCAAAGTTTTTGGACAACTGTGCTTTTACAACTGTGATTTTCTTATCACTAAAATGTAATGAACAATAGTAAATAACATTTAAGAAAATGTAATTGGATAAGGCTTGAGTCTGACCTTAGATCTGCATATCTGTAGCATGTAAATAGCATAACGTGTTTAAGGGGCTACTACAGCCCCTGTTGTTCTGCCAGGATACTATAGTGTTCCTAATCGTCCTTGAATAATTAGTATGATACAGATGTCTAACAAACCTTTGAGGATTATTGAGATTGGGCTGTGGTTTGTCCAAAATCTGGAGATTTTAATTCTAGACATGAGTTATTCCCTACTGCTGTTTGAAAATAATGAATGAGAAGCACATTTCATAACCACAATATTAATACACTTCCTGAAATAAGTGATGTGTGAGAGCCACCTTGGATGTTTAGTTGTTAAGGCTTTCTTGCCTTGCAAGTGATTTTTTTTTATTACTACTTTTAAATAATCTGCAAGTCAAAATGCAAAATTCAGCACTCTGACATCAGGTGGACTGTGACATTCTAGGAGACATTCATCCACATACAGTTTCTTAATCTCTGACAGTGTGAGTGATCATGATTTAGTAAGTAAATCCAAGTATGGTACAATTTATTAATGCTCAAAATAGTTCATTTCATTTCAGTTTAACTGTTTCAAAACACTGACTGAATACAGTGATGGCTACTTATTATGGTATTTTGCTCAGCGAAGCAGAAGGTGTGTGTCATCCCCTCACTGAGTTAACGGAGAGAGTTTGAGAGTGGCTTTACTTGAATCCAAGCAGAACCAATAGTGCACTTCCCTGCTCGAGAGCAAGGAAATAGTTTCTCCTGATCTGAATTCTGTGTTCTGATACTGCTCATAGCTACTGTAGTTAGCAAAGCAAACTCCCTTTAATTTCAGTGGAGAAGGATCCAACTAGAAAGTGTATTGGATTTCTTTGATCTGCCATGAATAACTTTCATGCCTGGCAGGGCAGGAAAAGTGATTTCTGCAGGCTTTTTACAAGCCTAAATCACAGCAGAAAACAGAGGGCCCTAGGTCCCACTCAGCATACTTGCTGGGAGCATGTTTCCATTTTACCCAAACACAGATCTGCCACTAGTAGTACACCTTTCAAGGTGCCTGTATAAGAATAGACACTTTTTAATTTTTTTTTTAAAAAGCAATAACCAGACTTACACTTGTATCAAAATATACTTAACTCGAATTTCTCATTTTGAAATTTTAATTTGGAGAAATGATTAGTCTGACAAAGATGTTTACAATGATGTTTTCGGCTATCTCTGGGTCAGAGAAAATTGTCCTGCAAATGGATTTGATAGAAATAAAAAACTTCCAAATAATGTGCTGAATGCCGCCCCAATAACTAGGCTAAGGGGTGCGTTCAGCCCAGTTGGCTTAAAATGACGCTTTTCTTTTTTTAGATTCAGACCCACCGGCTCCTGCTCCTTATGAAGCCCCAGCGTGTGTTATGCTGGTGACACAACATTCACCATGGAACTCTACTGGAGCCTGGAGCCGGCATATAGGGTTTAGGTAAGTCCACTTTAAAAAACCCCAACAATATTGCGTGGTGTTTCCTTGTTTTATACCCTAAGGGATATAAAATATTAAAATGTTAAAAGAAAAAAACCACCTTTTAAACCCCCCGCAATATTGTGCACAAAACCAAACTTACCTGACTCCTTAAGTATTCTATATTGGGTGCCACTTTACCAAAGTACATGATGGGGCATCACACGGAGCTGGAGCTCGGGGTTGTTGACCGCCTTCACTGAGAAGTAAAAAGCTGAAAACAGTGCCATTGTAAATATCCTTTTGAACTAACCTAATTCTTTTTCTAATTTAAAATTTCAAGCTGCTAAATTTGAAATAACTCAGAGTAGGAGATTCTGTTATCATAATGCTGTGAGGGTAGCCAGTTAATACGAAATGCTACTCTTAAGTGTCTTCTTTGGGACATTCAGCATTTAACTGTACCGTTTGCTGTTTTGGTCAAATCTTCACCTTTAAGTTTTTTTAGTGGTACTAAATAATGAATGTTAACTTGAGAGTTTGTTGAACTTTTCTAATTTCTGTCAGAAGTTGTTCTTCAATAACTTTTTAAAATTTGAGTAACAACAGCTAAAAAAAAAAAAAAAGCATTGAGCCCTGGCTGACTTTACATTGTTCTATGAAAAACCTTTTAGTTAATGTGGCAGGACTTGCTTGTATATCTTCTGTTCTACTCTGATATTACTGCTTATAGCCTTTACTTGTCTAAAGTTGTCATTTTTAGTTTACAAAAGAACAGCTGAATGAAGCATTAATCTTAATACATCTTATGACAATGTTTGTGTTTTATATCATGATCTTATTACTACAGTTTAATAAGGAATGGTAACATATTAGTGTTGTTGTATTTATCTGTTTACTTGGGTCAGACTCGTAAGAGATGGAAAATACTTATTAATTCATCCAGACATGCTCTATAAATATAGAATTGTTCTCTAAAGTACATCTTCCAGTGCTTTGTTCATTTTAATTTTAAATATTCCAGACTTGTATGTATGTGCTGGAGGAAGAGGTTCCATCACTTCTCTTCTGAACTGCCTTCCATTTGGCAGTATCTCCAGTTGCTGAGAACTAAATTTAATCACCTTGACCTTTCTTGCTGCTGTATTGAATAGCAAACTTGTGTAATTTGCTATACGTGATTATTCCTGTGTTCCTTTCAGAATTGTTGCTTTCTCCCTCCCCGGTTGCATATATATTTTGGATTGCATTTCCTAAGATGTCTGCAGTTTTCCAAATCAGTTCTCATGTTATATTCTGCCCATTTTTCTAATCCCTCTAGATCCCTTTGTATAATTTTTCTGTCCTCTTTGGTATTTGTAATTCCTTTAAATATTATCTGAATTTGTGCCATTTATTCTGTGCTCGAGGGCATTAGTGAAGATGTTATACGAACAGACCAAATGCCAATCTTTGCAGTACGCCACTAGACATCTCCTCTCTCTTCCCCCAACTTGATACTTTGCTGTTTATCATTACCTTTTCCTTCATTCTTTTAAAATATTGGGGAAAAATGAGATGTAAGCTGACTTTGTGGCATGATAGTGAACATGTTGTTTTGTGAAAGAAGTTTGAATTGCAATCTGACACTAACCACAGGCTGCCATAGCTGAAGTTTGTTGCCAGGGCCCAGGATTTCATGTCATAAGTACATAAGAACGGCCATACTGGGTCAGGTCCATCTAGCCCAGTATCTTATCTTCTGACAGTGGCCAGAGCAAGATGCTTCAGAAGGGATGAATAGAACAGGGCAATGTCGATCATCCATCCCTGGTCGTCCAGTCTCAGCTTCTGGCAATTGGAGGTTTAGGGACATCCAGAGCATGGGGTTGCATCTCTGACCACCTTGGCTAATAGCCATTGATGGACCTATCCTCTATGAACTTCCCTAATTATTTTTGATCCAGTTATATGTTTGGCCTTCACAACATCCCATGGCAACATGTTCCACAGGTTGACTGTGCATTGTGTGGAGAAATACTTCCTTTTGTTTTAAACATGCTGTGTATTAATTTCATTGGGTAACCACTGATTCTTGTGTTATGTGAAAGGGTAAATAACACTTCCTTATTCTCTTTCTCCACACCATTCATGATTTTACAGACCCCTATCATATCCCCCCTTAGTCATGTCTTTTCTAAACTGAATGTTCCCAGTCTTTTTAATCTCTCCTTGTATGGCAGTTGTTCCATACCCCCTAATAATTTTTGTTGCCTTTCTCTGTAACTTTTCCAATTCTGATCTATCTTTTTAGAGATGAGGCAATCAGAACTGCATGCAGTATTCAAGACGTGGGTGTACCATGGATTTATTTAGTGGCATTATGATATTTTCTGTTTTCTGTTTCCCTTTCCTAATGGTTCCTAATGTTCTGTTAGCTTTTTTGACTGCCATGATGTCTCCAAGAGCTTTCTTGAGTGGTAACAGCTAATTTAGACCCCATCATTTTGTATTTATAGTTGAGATTATTTTTTCCAATGTGCATTACTTTGCACTTATCAAGTAGGTGTCCAGTGCCTGAGTAAGTCCTGCTCAAAGAGAGGTATGGTAGGGTTGAGTAGACCAGGAATATGAACAAGGCAACTGTAACATAGCATTAGGAAAGCTTTGCAGTGGAATGATGTGTCCAAAAAAGGAAAATTATATGAAAAAAATTGAGCCTCTAAGGCCCTTTTTGTGGGTTGAGCTTTAACTATTGCAATGTATTTAAATGACTTATTTTAATAGGAGAAGCACTGTTTTAAAATATTAAAAGGTCTCTCTCTTTAGGTGGCCGATCGCCTGTTTTCCTCTTTTGGGCAAGATATTTTGGATGCCCTTTATTGGACTGCTACTGAACCTAAGGAGAGAAAAAGAGCTCATATAGGTGTGATTCCACACTTTTTCATGGCAGTGCTGTATGTCTGTATCCTTCGTTGCTTTTTGTCAGAATTAATTGCAACAATTTTCTTTAGCTTGTTGTACATTAGGTTGGTTAAAGAGTTTCTCAATAAATTAAAATAAGAATAATTTTAAAACAGAATTGTGTAAAATTATTTGAATATGTTTCTGAACTTGCCTGAAATTACATATTCACATTCATTTTCAGAATAAGATTTACAGTACTTCATTTTTTAAAAGTGAATTGAAACGCTTTTAACATGCCAAGATGTGAGTTGAGGGTTGTATTTCTCATGCAGCAATTGATGATCTTGCTAACACCAAAAGTGAAGCAAATGGACTATGAATGAATATTGATTGTGCTTACATTGAGTATTTTCTCACAAGAGGTTTTTAAAATAGCAATTTTACTATCTTCGGTACAGCATAATTGCCCTCCTAATTTGAAAATATTTGTCTGAAAAAATATAACTCTTTAACAATTATTTTTGCTTCCCTCCTCCAGCTCTAGGGTTTTTTTTCTAGTTTGTCACTAGATTAAATACATTCATATATTGTATTTCTCCTGATGTTGCCCCATGCAGCCTTGCAACACAGTGTTGTTCTTTAACTGTGGAGGTTGGCTTGAGGTGCCCGTCAGAGAAGCTTGTCTGTCAATCTTCATTGACTTCCAAATTGGGTTATAGAAGCAAGAAACTTTATAAGGCGGAAATTCATATCTTCTTTATGATAGTGTCTTCTAATGTCAATAAACAATGGGAATGGTTCTTATTTCTTTGTCATGTTAAGTAAATCAAGGCAGAAGATTTTCTTATTGCATGCAGATGGGTTCCTAGACTTTTGTTTGTTGATATATGATGAATTGGGAGAAGAGTCCAATAGATGTTTGTCTTTTCAAAAATAATTAAATGCAGTGTTGTCTGCCACTTAGCCATGCATTTTTCCCTATTGAATTCTATGGGCCCATTTCAGTCTCCTGCTCAACTTCCAGAGAGGAAAGAATCATAGAGCCATAGAAATGAAGGGCTGGAAGGGACCTCGAGAAGTCTTCTAGTCCATTCCTCTGCACAGAGGCAGGACCACATATACCCAGACTCTCCCTGACAGGTGTTTGTCTAACCTGTTCTTAAAAACCTCTGGTGGTGGAGGTTTCCCAACCAACCTTGGAAGCCTATTCAAGTGCTTAACTATCCTTATACTTAAAGAGCTTTTCCTGGAATGTTTCTTGGGGAGGGAAAGTAAGGGGAGAGCCTTCTCCTGCTTATTTTTCCTCATTGCTTTATTTATTAGACTTAAATTTATTACTGCTTCTGCTATTTCACTAGCCTGCTTTTGTGGCAGCTCTTCTGGTGACATTTTTTCTCTGTGACTGACAAGATGTGGTGTCCCTAACCTAGATCAACAAGAGGTACAGAAACCAGCAGCAGTAATGATAGATCCAGAATTACTACATGCCAGTTACAGTGTGCAATGCAGTTGTTACACACTCAGACTCCATCATCTCAAGTACTTTCAGGCTATATTAACATTTCTCTTACGTGATGACATTAGGCTCTTTCAAAATAGGAAACCTTGATGCAGCCTGGAACATGACCTGCAAAAGAATGCTGTTTCTATCAGAGTAGAATGAGCTGCCTAGTAGAGGACTTCAGTGCCTTAACTTAATATTATGTGATTAATGTTGTAAAACACTGTGGTATATTACAAGCATGCTGTGGAAATATAAGCAGTTCTGAAACTCACAGGTTTGAGTGTAAGAAATTGCTATAACTTAGAATCTTGTTACAGTGCTCATGTAAAAAGCATATCAGCACAGTGATGAAATCCTGGCCCCATTGAAGTCCATGAGAATTTTACCTCCACAAGTACTATATAACTACTAATCTACTCCACTAAGTAATTTTTCAGTGATGCATGAAATATTTTTGTATTTTCTATTAATTTTGAGGACAAAATAAGATCTTTGTCTGAATTTTTTTCAAAGTTTTGGATGATGCTAATATAATACAGTACAGAAATGTACTTTTCAAATGTCATTTTCTTTAACACTGCTATTTTCAGTCTTGCATGCTATTCTTATAATGGTCCAAGCAACAACACTTAACGTAGCCTTCAACTCCCACAACAAGTCACTGCTTACCATCATGATGTCTAATAATGTAAGTATGAAGTCAATTTGATTTTTACCTCAGAGTAATAAGCAAATACTTGTTCATCTCTTTCATTTACAAGCGACACAGTGCATTTTAGCATCATTGTTCCACAGGACAAATTTTTAATGCTTAGAGAGTAGTATAACTTCATAATTGTATATATACCCTCAGTTATCCTAAACATAGCATCTGAATAAATTAAGTGTTTGATCATCTTTGGCTTTCAATTAAAAAAAAAATTAACATTCCATAGCACATGAATAATCTGTAATGAAGCTAACTGTTTGTGTTTAAAATTACAGTTCGTTGAAATAAAAGGAAGTGTTTTCAAGAAGTTTGAGAAGAACAATCTTTTTCAAATGTCAAACAGTGGTATGTATATTTACATAGGTCAGAAAAATATTACTAATTCAAATTTGTTGTTGTTTCAAGTATAGTCTTCCATTATGTTTATGGTATTGATACAACAGCTATTATCTTGAAGTAGCTGTTGAGCACTCTGTATTTCTGTTAACATAGACCTGAATTCTAGATCACTTCATTACTGCTTTGTTTAATAGGACTAAACCAAGAATTCAGTTTTAGGAACATTGTATTTGCACAAATAACTATGTTTGCACTTCAGTACCTAAATATGGCAGGAATCTGTCTATGCATTGTCTGTCTACTTAAATACACTCCAAAATTCACACATTTAACCTATTCGAACACCATTTAAGATTATTGCCAAATTCCGAAACCACTGGTAGACCACAACATTATTAAATACCACTTAATATATGCCTTGTTAACAAGTATCCTGGCACCTCTGCTATGTTAGCGATCACTGGGGCTTATGTGCATATCACAATATCATGTTTTATTCTGATGAGCAAACAATGTAGTGAAATAAATGTATTTTGAGAGAGTATATTATGAAATCATGGTAGTTTTTAGAGCATGTCAGAAAGAACCGTAGATCTGCACGTTAGATAAAATTAAGACCACAAGAGGCTTAGGTCTTGTCTATGTGGTATGTTAGTCCATGCTAGAGGGATGTAAGTTCTAGTGCACACTAGTATGTTGCTCACCAATTGACCTGTATGGACCCTGCTAACGCACACTAAAAGTTTCCTACTGGATGTTAATGTAGTCCTGTTTCAAACGCTCACTAGAATTTTTAGTATAAGCCAGCAAGGTCAACTCAGGCCAGTTAGTACATGACATGCTAGTGTACACTAATTTACACCCCTCTAGTGCAAACTAACACACTGTATAGACAAGCCCTTAAAGAACACAAACTGTGCATCTGGTGTTCATGATTACGTTGCTGAATGTATTGAAATTTGGAAACTCTCTAGATTAGAAAGATTGTCCCGGGAAGAGAAGTCTCAACTATCCTTTGACTTAAGTACTTTTGTCATAATATTTCAGGTGGACAGTAGAAATTTTCATATTAATTTCAGTACCTAGTTAGGAAAAATATTTTTTTGATGCTTTGAGATATAGTATGATGTTGAAGTGGTGTTAAGGGGCTCTTTATTCCTGGTATCTCCTCATACAGGTGCAGTGCATTAACCTTAGAAAAAAGAATCTTTTGTTTATCAGTTCTTCATTACATGCATATGTGATACACAAGAGTTCAAATTAAAAATTATATATGAGTGCACAGATGCACACAATCACACATTAAATAAAAAGCTTTAATTTTCTCTTTGACACTCTCTCAACTTTTAAATGAAGAAGATACTTTCCTTTAAATCAGGCTTTAGTAAAGAAACTAAACCAATGATTAACTGTAAAACTTTATGTAAAATGGATAATTTGAAGTGTTCTAAGAGTTAGATTTTAGCAAACTGCTTCATCATTTGAATATCTGACTTGTGTATGTGAGACACTAAGATCACAGCTCTGTCACAATCTTCACTTCTGGAGGGGAATATGTCTAGTGCAGGTGACTGGGTTCTTAGGTCTGCCAATTACTTGCTTTTTGACTCTGAACAAGATTTGTGTCTGCTTCAGTGACTTTATCCCTCTGGAAAATTGGTGTGATACTACTTCAGTTAATGTTTGTTTTCATGGTATCTTTAAATTCTTGGATAAGAGGTGATACATGAGTAAACATAGTAGAATAATAAAACAATAAATTTAAATAATTCTCCTATTATATTAAACTTGTCTTTTTTATTAGAAAGTCTGTGAAAGCCAAAAAATTGATACTCTTCAGCCATGTCGGAAGGAACTCTTATCCAGTGCTAGTGGTGATAATTTCTGGTGGCCAATTTTAAATATCAACTTTAAAGAATGAAATGTGATGTGTAATTAAAATCTGCTTAATGCGAGTCTTTGTGCAAGTAAAACTGGATTGCTGGAATGTTCACAAAATGAACATAAAAACGGGCCTGAGCAAGGCCAAAACAAATTCTCTCTTAAACTTGAGTGAATACTCAGAAATTATTTGTAATATTCACCCAGCTCGGTTTTTGTTTGGTCTTATGATTTTCAGCGTCCCAATCATGGTTCTTAAGTTAGTTGAGTTCTACTTAAAATAGATTAGAGGCTGTGATTATCAACCATTTCTCATTTATTCTATTTTATTGTTGGGCACTGTTAGCAATGATCTGTAATGGCAATGTCAAGTTTCGCTCCTAGCCATGGGGCGAAGTGAAGCCATGCATTATGCCAGATGGGTATAGAAACAGATGAGTGCATGCAAGAGTGCACAAAACAAGTGAGTTTATTCTCTTCAAATTGATAGCTAACTTTTCCTGAAATGATTCATAGAACTTTAATGAATCACCACATATTGTATGCCTAAAAAGAGAAAAAAGCAAGTTTTCTAAGCTCTCCATGTGTGTTTAGAGTTTCAGATGTACCATAATACTTTTCCAACAGTATAGATAGCACTAAATTAAGCACTGCAATTTGCACTTACTGTCTGGCAAATCAATTCGTAAGATTGTTTGTATATTTGGTATTAGCCCCTTTCCACTTGTGGTTTGATAGCTTCAACTGCATGCAGTGAAACAGTGGCACATTTTGTGTTAGCTTACTGTGGAAATTCTGACTTGTATCACCAAAGTATTAAAACATCAACGGGTATGTCTACACTTAAAATGCTACAGCAGCATAGCTGCAGTGCTTCAGTGTAGACACTGCCTATGCCAACGGGAGGAGTTCTCCTGTCTGCATAAGTAATCCACCTCCCCAAGAGGCTGTAGCTATCTACTATGGGGGTTAGGTCGGTATAGCTATATCTCTCAGGTCTGGTCTATACTACAGACCTATATCGGTATAACTGAATCGCTCAGGGGTGTGAAAAATCCACACCCCTGAGCAACATAGTTATACTGACCGAACCCGAACGTGTAGATAGCGCTATGTTGGTGGGAGAGCGTTCTCACTCTTTTGTTGGGTACAGCAAAGTCAGATACTTTATTCTCTTAAGCAGCTACATAAAGGGAGAGAGTGCACCAGGACACAGGGTCTCCCCCTCCTGGGCAGGTCTCTCAACAGGTAAACAATTACAGCAAGCATTTATACCTTTTTGTTACAGACAATGAAAAGCAACAGCTGCATTTTGTTTATACATAGGTAATTCTGATATCTTGTTTTTCTCACTTATGTAGACTCTTAGTCTACATTCCATATTGTCTGCACATTATCTACACAAGGTCGCAACAACTTCTCACACAGTTCTTTCCACTCGCCTCACACAATCCTCGCTTCTACAAATCTCACGTTATTAGGGTTACAGTTAGCCTGACTCTTGCTAACAAACTATCATGCATTGCAATCCCCTTCCTGTCAGTTCTTTCTCTGCTTCCACAACTCCCCCACTCCCCCCATTTGTACTACTAGTACAACAAACATTCTCAAATCTCTATTTGCATTAAGTCTTGGAATTCAGATTCTACATCAGATGCTTCAACCTTAGGGGTTTTGATTGGATGTAATGACAATGCATGATTAGCATGGGCATGAAAGGTATTACTATTAGTACGTCCTTTACAACAACAATAACATAATCCTAAGCTAACTGATAACAATACAAGCAATAACATTCCCATAGCAATAATATGATGGGATTGTTGTATAGTTTTAGTCATAAAGCACAATGCATCATACTTAGTACATAAAGTAGACACTCTATAAGCTGTATGAAAGGCATACTTTTCAACTTGATATATATTTTGAAGCATGTGAATTTGCCCTTGTATTTCAGAGATTCTTTGAACCTCTGGTAACAGTGAAAGCAAATTTTAAAATCAATCAGGCACTAAGCTGGTCCAATTAAAGGGTATCTGGAACCTAAGGGCTACTTGCAAAATTCTATCTGCAGGCCAGTAAATAATGATTGCCTGCAGCGGTAGTGAGATTAAAATGTATGTCTTGCAATGTGGTGGCTTTAACATACACACAGCTATCATTAGCTTGAAAAAGTAAGTGCCCTGTCACGGTAGTTCCTTTTCCCCTACCCTCCCAGCAAACATAATCATAAACAGTGACAACTTTTCCTGGCTTCAGTTTACGTATACACTGAAGCTGTGGGGGTCTTTCTACTCATCTCTGCAACTCTAGGTGCTCCTTCTTCACGACTTGGCCCTCAGGCCAGGTCACTGCATGTTTACTCCTTCCGGGTATCAAACTGTCCCAAGAGTCCACTTTCCACTAATTGGTCTGTGCCACTTCCCCAGTGGCTGGTAGGTGAACCTGGACCCACCCTCTGCTCCGGGTTCCAACTTGGGCCCTTTCATTAGCAGCCAAGGTCTGCCCTATCCTGTCCCTTGCTCCTTTTCCCCTGAGCCATTTCTACTTTTCTGCATTTGCCAGCCCAAACTCCCTCCTACCAGGGAGTAACTGTAGGGTACTTGCTTGTATAGACCCAAACACACCTTCCTTTTCCCAGGGAGTGACTGCAGACTCCTTCCCTGCAGTCCCCCAGCTGCTCTCAGTTCCTGAGCTTTCTACAGGCCCCTCCTGTTCCTGTCCAGCTGAGCCTCATCTGATTAATTGCTGCCCCCTGGCTCCTCCTCCAGGGGAAGCCTGGGCATTTAATTGGCCTACCTAGCCACCTTAACCCCTTCAAGTCTTGTGTCGGGTAACTTTACCCCTCTCCTCCCCACCAGCCCTCCATTTTAGTTACAGATGCATCAGACCTGGGTTGGAGGGTCCCTGCAGACTGATGGTCTCTGGGCATCTCAGGATCTAATGACTCTCAGAAATATCAGAGAGTTAAGATCTGTTCAGCCTTCCTCCAAGAAAGAGCTTGCTGATTCTAACAAAAAACTTTGCAACCATGTTTTACGTAAACAGACAGAGAAGGGGCACACTCAAGACAGCTGTGACAGGCGGCAATCTGCCTCCGGATCTTTTGCATAACCAGTTCATCTCAGAGATGTTTACCTTCCAGGGAAGCAGAACACATTGGTGGGTTGACTGAGCAGGACTTTCTCCAATCACCATGAGTGGTCTCTATTTCTGGATATTGCCAAGTCCATCTTACTGCTCTGTGGAACTTCCCACGTAGACCTATTTGAGGTCTGATGTACACTCCAGAGTTAGGCTGATGCAAGGCAGCTTATGTTGACTCAACTAAGGAAGCATCTACAATCAAAATTTCACTTGACCAACGTAACTGCCCCACTATGCCAACTTAATAACTCTACCTCCATAAGCAGCGTAGTGTCTAGGTCGATGCAGTGTCAGTGTACAGACCTCATTGCTTATGTTTGTTACTGGCTTTCAGGAGACATTCCACAATGTCCCACACCAACAGTACAATCAGTAAAAGCACTCCTGGTGAGTATGCACACTGAAGACACAAGGAGTAAAGTGTAGACACATGCAAGCGATGTGATTACTGTGGCAGCTGTATGCCGACATAAGTTGTCAGCTTAATTTTATAGTGTAGACATGGCCTTCATTTCCCAGACCTGAAGAAGAGCTCTGTGTAAGCTCGAAAGCTTGTGTCTCTCACCAACAGAAGTTGGTCCAATAAAAGATATTACCTTACCCATCTTGTCCCTTCAACAGTTGTGGCAGCTAAGAGGGAAAAGATAAGAAGAGAAGGCACCTTGAGCAGAGGAAGAACTCAGGGAGAGACAAAAAGTGGGACAGTGTCCACCTACAAGAACAACAAATAGCAGATCTTTAGGATCACCGCCTACCTCTTCTCCTGTGTCCCCTAACACAGGGTATGGGGCGCCATCACATATTGAACACAGTTTGGGGGTAGGGGGTGTGCATGGGACCTGTTGTGGCCACTTCAGATTTCATTGAGGATCCATATTTTAGAATGCTTTCTCAAATTTTGGAATTTTTCCCTTCACAGTTTTCATATATTTTTGTAATATCAATGGTGGAGTCTTGGGTATCGTTTTTTGCAATGTTGCATTTTAATGAAACATTACATATTGATCTAATGTTCCTACACAACATACGAGACAGAGAGCAAAGGATTTCATAATTCTTTTGTTCAGTAAAAGAGAAAGTATTTATTTAATGGTCGCTTGAAAACTGCAGGATCATTTTTGTGGTGCTGATATATCAAATATAAGCCAAAGTACATCAGAATGCACATGAAAACTAATGGTGCCTGGTTATCCCTAAGCTTTCTTGTAGAATTATCCTTGGAAAAACTGACATCATTTAGATGCTGGTCCTGCTATAATACCTGGTATATTGAACTGTACATAAAAAGTATGCTTTTTACCTGGTCTTAATTGGAATGGTCTCTTCACTCAAGCAGTTTAGAAACTAGGCATTTGCACCCTTCGTTACTTCTGTGGGCCAAAATCATTGTACACACTAATGGCTTCTTGCATTCCCCCACAAGCCCCATCCCTTCCATCTCTATTTCAGGGACTCGCTACAACCCCTTCCAACTCTCTCTCTCTCTCTCTCTCTCTCTCTCCCCTGTGAAAGGGATTCTGTGTCCTCCAGTATCCCCATGCCAGGGGCTGTGTGTAGCCCCAATTCTTCCCCCATACCAGAGGCTCTGTGTGTCAGTGTCCCCCATGCCAGGAGTTCTGTGTGCATTCCCTTCCACCATACCTCTCCATTCCCCCCCTTCTACCTCACCATGCTTGTCTCTCTCTCTCTCTCTCTCTCTCCTTCAGGGCGCGAGTATTTTGAAACTTTATTGGCAGGCTAGGGAGAGCTGAAATGAGGGGTATTAAACTGGAATGTGATAATGGCTGCCTTCAACCAGTTCTTTGATCTATGGATCATTACAGAGGCAGTTGAAGCTGCTATCTCTGCTAACCAGATATGTGCCAGGGTCTCCATGTGTCATCCATTTCCCCCTTCTGTTTTTCTGATTTTTTTTCTTTCACCAAAATCAGTAGGGTTCTGCCCACTGATGCTTAGAAAATTTCGCTGAAGTGTTGGAATTGATTGGATGCAGTGTTCCAAAGTTATTGTGTTACATCCAAACAGAAGTACTAGCAAGCTGAGTAGAAGACCTCATAAACTTGGCCTTATCATACTATGTTTATAGATGCTGCATATAATGTATTACTATTAACTGTTGCCATAGGCAGGTTATCAAAGTGGAGGACACATGATCTGATCCGGCATGGCAAATGATTCAATATCAAGCTTTGACTTCCTTTTTGCACCATATTTTACCTTAATGAGACCAGAACTGACAGCTTCCTCCAGCTTGCTTTTAATGCTGCTTTAGGACAGACTACTAGAGATCTTCTAAATATGGTGCAATCAATTCACTTAAGGCCATTCAGTTTCACTGGAGCACGGAGTCCATATCACCCCTTTGATGTGTCTGATCTCTGCCTACTCTAGAGGAAGCAGGAGTTTGAGTTGCAAATTACTTGAAGTGACAAACTGTGTTTTGTCCTTCTGAATCTGATTGAGCAATTTCAGGCAAATATTGGCTCTTACTGTGTGTCCAGTGCCTAGTACAATGGCACTACCATAATACATATAAATAACTATTTTATTTGGAGTTGACAGTTTTTTTTTTTTTTCAGATATAAAGGAGAGATTCACCAACTATGTGCTATTATTGATAGTATGTCTAAGAAATATGGAACAGTTCTCATGGAATCCAGGTAATGACGCTATTGAAAAACATGTAATTTTTAAATTATGCACTTGTTAGTATGTAATTACAATACTACAGGTACACGTTAGACAATCATACATACCCCTTTGCTCAACACAGCAATCTGAAAGTCAAAAAGCAAGCAGTACTCTTAAAATCAGACTCCTATGACCTCAGATCACAAGACCTGAATAATCTGTAAACTATTCCGTTTTCTGTGGATTGTGATTCCATTGATTCCAATGAAAGCTTATCCCCTTGCACTGTAAATAAACATTGATGTGTTTTGCAAAGTTTTGAGTTACATTTTTTTTTATATTTTTGTATCTACCAGTAAGAAATCCTGTTAGAAAAGTGTAATTATTTTCTTATGCTGGCAAGAAAGGAACCAAGTATAAAACTGAAAATATGTTTCCATCTTGATTTTAATATTAATTAAACTTTGTTATTTTTTAAATGCTTAATTCAAATAAACATTGGTGTTTGTTCTACTGTAGCAGGTTGGAAATGTATTTAGTGATGTAGGGCCTGATTCTGTGCCTTTTTTCTCTAGGACAAAAGGTGTTTTTTAACGCATGTTGGCCAATGGATTTACATTAACGCGATAACATGTTAAACTGCAACTGCTTTGTCTACACTAAGTTTTAACCCATGATAGCTAGCACATGTTAAAAAACATACCTTTTGTCCTAGTGAAGATAAGGCCTTACAGTGCAGGGTCTAGCACAACAGAGCCTGGTCCTCCTTCTGGTCTTTGTATGCTATGCTAAGGCTAAGGCTAAGGCTATGGCTACACTGGTGCTTTACAGCGCTGCGACTGCCTCCCTCAGGGGTGTGAAAAAACACCCCCCTGAGCACAGCAAGCTACAGTGCTGTAAAGCTCCAGTGTAAACACCTTGTGGAGGTGGAGTACCTGCACCGCTGGGAGAGCTTTCTCCCAGAGCTGGCGCGCGACCACACTCGCACTTCAAAACGCTGCCATGGGAGCTCTCCCGTGGCAGCGCTTTGAAGTTTCGAGTGTAGCCACGGCTTAATGCAAATAATTCTCCAGAGTAGATACTGTGGTGGGAATTCATCTCTGCAAGGCACCCATTCATTTCTGAGATTATAAATATAGATATATATAATGCTTTGTACCTTTGAAAGTTTGACTGCTGTGCTAAGCAGTAATTGCAAGTTTTCTTTACTTATGGGATCAAATTGTACAGTATAACTGATTTTTTATTTTTTCCTAACCTTCAGATCACCTTTGGGTGTTGTTTCCAGATGTTTGCATGGTCATTGCATCAGAAATTGCAGTGGATATTGTGAAACATGCATTTATAACAAAATTCAATGACATTACAGCAGATGTAGGTATACTATTGGACTTCTAAACATGTTTGCTCTAGTTGTGATTTACTCTGTTTTTAAGACAGCTATAAGATGTAGAAAAAGATTGAGTCTAATGCAGAAAATGTTGTGGATTTTTTTTGTTGTTGTTAGAGTTTAAAAAGCCATTTCATAAAACTCCAGTAATTATTTTCTTGTTAACAGTGCACTTCTGAGGATGAATTTAATGTGCCTGAAACACCTCTGCTTCTAAATTCATAGTACCAGATCCATAAATTAAACTTGACTGTTGTGTAACAGCCACAATTCACATAATTTGCAGATCATTTTTGGGGCAGTTGCTAGGTCAAGAAAACATAAAGGTAATGTTTATGTTTTACTTTAGTCACCCAGAGCATGTACGTTTTTCTAAACAAAATGGATTGTGAGATACAATTCATGTTTTAGAAAAATCTATTTCTCTGTGAGACTATTGAATCTTTCTGTTTCAGTGTATTTTTAAAGATGGAAACTAAGATCAGAAATATTTTTTTTTTCTCTTCTGTCCCTGCAGCACAGAATATAAAGTAGGTTAATGTTGGTTTCCCATTCCTATAATTTCTTGGGACATATATAGTATGTAGGCCTTCTTTAATGTACTAGATGAAATTGTGTTATGTTGTATGCTAACATGACATATAGACACTACACATGATATATTTGTCTTAGGCCTGGTCTGCACTAGAAAATTGTCTGCTTAAATACGTCACTCAGCATTGTGAAAAATCCACACCTCTGAGTGGTGTATTTAAGCCAATCTAACCTGTAGTGTAGACTGCTAGGTCGACAAAAGAATTGTTCTTCTTCGAGAAGTGACCCTGTGGGTGCTCCACTTTAGGTGTCTTGATGCCCCGTGCTTGTAATTGGAGATTTGTGGTAGCAGTGCCTGGTTGGGCCCCGCGTGCGCCGTAGGCATCTCACACTGCTCCAAGCAGTTACATAGCGGTGCGCATGCAACCTTACCCCAGTTTCTTCTCTACTGCCTTTGGCTTGAGTCAGAGTGATCAGCAGCGCCCTCTCTTAGTTCAGAAAAAATGTATAGTAGATAATTCATTGTGGTAGTGTTAGCTTAGTTGTAGTTAGCTTCCCTATCCCCTTGCCCTACTCTAATTTCTTTAATTTCATCAAAAAAAAGTTTTTTTTCCAGTCTACCTTCCCTATCCGTCCATCTCTCCAGCAGGCCTACAGCCTTAGCCTCAAACAGGGTTTACCCCTGTTTTTCTCTAAGAACAAACTCTCTCAGGCATGCCAGGCTCAGCTGGTTTTAAATGCTGCCTGACTTGCAGACTCTCCATACCGGTCTCTGACAGCCACACTCGGTGTGTCCGCTGCCTCTGCAAGACACACATTACTCAAAAGTGCCCACACTGCAGAAAGCTGGCAACTAAAACAAGAAAAGCCAGGGATCTCCAAGTGAAGCTCCTCATGATGGAGAAATTTCTCAGGCCAGCCCCCAACCCTGAGTCCAAGTCACTCCCTGGCCAACAGTTGCCAGCAGCAGCCTCTGACAGGAGCTCTGCTCCAACAACAGGAGCCTGTTGCTAAGGAGCCTGCTCCTAGAAAGGCTACAAAAAAGTGGTCATAGACGTCCCCGCACCAAGAGTCGCCCAAAAGAAAGTGATCTCCAACTGAAAAATCTGCCCCAGTACTGACAGCACCAAGAGCGCCGGACCGCAAGGCACTGGAAACGTCTGGCACCGAGCGTTCCTGACAAGCTAAAGACACTATGTGGGCAACCTCTAATGGAGGTTCACACACTAAAGTGAAACCTTCTAACACGGCATCCATCGAGATCTCTGCCCAAGCAGTACAATGGCACCACCTGCTGTACCTATGCTGCACAGCTATAAATCCTCGGCACCGGCAGTTTCAAATCATGCTCCTGGGCCGTCCACCATGCCATCTACAGCACCGAACCTCATGGTACCGCAGCAATTCCTGAGGCATGCAGACCTGATAGTGGCCTCAATGCCTGAATCTCCTCTACTCGGCACCGAGGGCACCCCATCCAGATCAATACTAACCCGGCTGACTACTCCCTACAGTTCAGCCCCTCCTATCTCCACTGATGAGGAAGAAGAGGATGATGCAGTAATATACACTCCTCACCCAAGCCAGGGCCATCTCCTCACCCACCACCTGTGGATATACGAGGATGGTATAGTCACCCATGGGCACCGCCCCCATACCATTCCCACCTAACTGGTGATACTGGAATCAATGGGCAACCAAAACTGCAGGCCCCCTAGTCCGCCTAGGTCCAGAATAGCCCGGTCCCCTTCACCAACCGTCCCGGCACCCTCAGAAACACAAGAGGAAGACACTGAAGAACCTGAGGACATAGCCGCACATGACACTTCACCACCTGCCTACCTCTCATCTTCGTTGCCAGATGAAACCAAATGCCACTACCCCCTACTATGGGGGATGATTTCAAATCTTTTCAGGACCTCTTCAAAAGGGTTGCTTAATCCCTAGGCATTCCGTTTACACAGCTACCAGAAGCCCAACTTAAGCTCACAGACATACTCCAGGCATTCCCATCGGCAAAGAGAGCCCTGCTGATAAAGGATGCTATTATGGAACCTGCGAAAATCATCTGGCAGACTCCAGCTACTGCACCACCTCATGTAAGAGGTCTGACAAAAAATATTATGTGCCAGCAAAAGGAGCTGAATTTTTATTTACACACCTCACTCCAAACTCCTTAGTGGTGAAGGCAGTCAATCAAAAGGGGAAACAACACCAGTCCTGAACGACCCCATACGATAAGGAATGGAAAAGGCTAGACCTTTTTGGGTGGAAAGCCTATTCCTCATCTATACTTCAGTTCCACATAGCCCTGCTGGCCAAATATACACACAGTCTGTTCTCCAAAATGTCAGAATTTATTGAAAATTTGCCAGATGATAAAAAAGAAAAATATAAGGCAAATATTTCTGAGGGGTGTCTCATCGCCAGGACAGCCCTACAGGACTCTCTTGACTCTGCAGACACGGCAGCATGATCCATTGCCACATCCATGATCATGCGCTGTGCATCCTGGCTCCATGTTTCTGGATTCCCAAGGGAGGTCCAGGCAACGGTTGAGGACTTACCCTTCCAGGGTCAAAAACTATTAGCTGACAAAACTGATGTGTCCTTACAGTCTTTAAAGGACTCCAGGGCGACCTTAAAAACCCTGGGCATCTACGTACCTGCAAACAAAAATAAGGCAGGTTTTACAACCAGAGATTCCAGGCTACCCCATACTCTCAGCCCCAAAGACAGTATAACCAACTGCGTAAACAAAGACAGCATAGACATTGGCAGAACCAAGATCAGCCTTTGACATCTCAACCATCCACCTCTAGACAATCATTTTGAAGGTGTGGTCGAGGGCTTGAGACCTCCACACTCTCTGACTCCGGAATCAGAAACAGTCCGCCACCCGTTCGGAGGCCACCTCTCACCATACTACCCAGTCTGGAACACCATCACAACAGACAAATGGGTTTTAGAGATTATCCAGAAGGGCTGCTCCATCCCCTTTACTTCTATCCCACCTACCCACCCCCCTTCCCGTCCTCCTTCAGGGACCCGTCTTATGAGCACCCGTTACAACAGGAAATAAACCACCTTGTCCAATTAGGTACCGTGGAACCCATACCAGTGCAACACAAGGGGAGAGGTTTTTATACACATTTTTTTACTAACTCATAAAAAGACTGCTGGGTGGAGACCCATCCTGGATTTACGAAAACTCAGCAAATTCGTGAGAATGCAACGTTTCAAAATAGTGACTCTAACCACAATAATTCCGGTATTAGAGAAGGGAGCTTGGCTCTTGGCCCTCAACCTTCAGGACACTTATTTTCATATTACAATCCACCCATCACACAGAAGATTCCTGAGATTCACCCTAGGGAAACAGCATTTCCAATACAGAGTACTATCCTTCAGCCTTTCCACTGCCCCAAGGGTTTTTTTCCAAGGTTCTCGCTGTCATTGCAGCTCAGCTCTGCAGACGAGGAGTGATGATATTTCCATACTTAGACGATTGCCTTATAAGGGCACCAACGCAGCAAGAAGCAATAAACACCACACAGAGCATGATAACCCTGTTCACGGACCTACGGTTGCAAATAAATGTACAAAAGTCCACACTGGTTCCTGTCCAAAAGTTAGAATTCATAGGAGCCTACCTCGATTGTCTCACAGCAACAGCAATGTTACCCCAACAATGCTTCCTCACTCTAGTAAACCTAAATTCAACGATGATGGACAGCTCACAAACATCCGCCAGAACATGTTTACAACTCTTGGGGCATATGTCAGCGACAATGTTTGTTGTAAAATATGCCAGAATCCACATGAGATGTTTGCAGGCTTGGCTTTGAACAGTATATATACCACACAGACACACACTCAGTAGACGCCTCACAATGCCACACAGAGTAAAAGACTCATTAACATGGTGGACACAACCAAAGAACATCTGCTCAGGGAGTCCCTTTCCAACAAAGAACTCCAACCATGACAATCATGACAGGTGCTTTCCTAATAGGTTGGGGGGCACATCTACTCAACAATATGATCCAAGGCCACTGGTCCTCAGCAGAGTCCAACCTGCACATAAACTTACTGGAGCTAAGGGCAGTCCGAAATGCATGCGACCACTTTCTCCCTCTAATCAAGAACAATGCTATCAAGATCCTCATGGACAATATAGCATGCATGTTTTATGTAAACTGCCAAGGGGGAGCACAATCATACTCCCTATGTACAGAAACAATACACCTTTGGAATTGGTGCATCACCAACAACATGGAGATACCGGCATCCTATCTGCCAGGATGTCAGAATTCAACAGTGGATCTACTAAGCAGGGATTTTTCACAAACCCACGAGTGGGAGATGGATCGAGGAATTGTCAAATTCATATACAAACTATGGGGGATCCCCACCATAGATCTATTAGCCACAGCTCAGAATGCCAAATGCCCAAAATATTGTTCCAGAGCAAGATTGGGACTTTACTCCCTAGGCGACGCTCTCCTCATAAAATGGGAGGCGCCACTGATGTATGCATTTCCTCCAACTGTACTTCTAAGCCGAGTCATTCACAAGATCGGGCAGGACAAGTCTAGGGTCATTCTCATTGCGCCCACATGGCCCAGACAAAAGTGGTTCCCATAGCTGCATCAGATGACAGTGAAACCACCTCGAACCCTTCCCTTAGTACCTCACCTTCTATCACAAGCTGTGGGATGCGTCCGTCACCCCAACTTTGCAGTACTCCACCTCAAGTCCTGGTTACTCCATGGCAGACTGGGGTCGAGAAGGCCTGTTCTGAGGAAGTAAAAGATATATTACTGAACAGTCGAGACTTAAATACAAGAAAAACACATATCCGTAAGTGGAAACGATTCTGAACATGGTGCCAAGACAAACAGATCTTACCACAGTTGTCCCCCCTACTGAGGATTCTCAACTATATACTAGGACTTAAAAATTCGGGGCTATCCACAAGCTCCATCAGAGTACACTTGGCTGCTATTACCTCTTTCCATGACAAGGTGGACGGGGTCACTATATTTGCTCACCTGATGATTAAATGCTTCCTTAAAGGCATTGAAAACACTTATCCCCTCATGTAGGACCTCAACTTTGTTCTACGCGGACTCATGGGAAAACCGTTTGAACCCCTTCCAACTTCCTCTTTGTTGCACTTATCCATGAAGGTGACTTTCCTCATTGCCATCGCGTCCACAAGACGGGCGGGAGAATTAGGTGCCTTAATGGCACACCCACGTTATACAACATTCTTTAAATATAAAGTAATCCTAGGACCGCGTCCTAAGTTCATACCCAAAGTAACCTCCCCCTTTCATTTAAATCAACTCATTTACTTACCTATGTTTTGTCTGAAGCCACATGCGGGCGGGACGGAGGCCTCACTCCAGACACTGGATGTTCGCAGAGCATTAGCTTTCTACATTGAAACAAAAGAACAAAAACATTTAGAAAATCACCTGGACACTTTGTTTTCATAACAGAACACTCAATGGGTCAAACTGTTTCAAAATCAGACTATCCAAATGGCTATCTGGATGTAGCCATTTGTGCTACCAGAACAACAGTCTACAATCTCCACCAGGAGTTCGCACACACTCCACTAGAGCACTAGCAGCATCTGTAGCCTGTCACTGACATTTGCAGAGCAGCTACCTGGGCATCACTCCATACTTTCACTAAACACTATGCTTTAGAACAACAATGAGCATCAGGTGCTCACTTTGGACTTAAGCGTTATCCACCATCATAGACCAACTCCGAAATCCCGCTCCTCCACTGAAGGGCACTGCTCAACAGTCACCTAAAGTGGAGCACCCACAGGAACACTCCTCGAAGAAGAGGAGGAGATTACTCACCTTGTGCAATAACTGATGTTTTTCAAGATGGTTGTTCCTGTGGGTGCTCCACTACCATCCCTCCTCCTCTCTACTTCGGAGTTTCAGGCGGATTCTCTGAGGTAGGGAAGGAACAGGGGGATGGTTGGCTGCACACCACTATGTAACCGCTCAGACCAGCATGAGTCGGCTACAGCGCATGCGCTGCTCAACTGAGCACTGCTACCACAAATCTCTGATTACAAGCACAAGGCATCAAGACATCTAAAATGGAGAACCCACAGGGACAACCATCTCGAAGAACCTCGGTTACTCTACAAGGTGCGTAACCTTCTCTTCTGTCCACCCAGCCTACTGGGGAGGTGGATTACCTATTCTGATGAGAGAACCCTTCCCGTCAGTATAGGTAGTGTCTACACTGAAGCACTACAGCAGTGCAATTGTGTTGCTGTATCATTTAAAGTGTAGACAAGCCCTTAGAAACTGACGTGTGGACTCAAATGCTCTTTGTAAATTTGAGAGAAGATGTATTAGCATTTTCTTCTCACTACCTAAATCCCCTTTTCAAGAAACGAGGTCAAAACTTGGAAGTTCTATCACTTTCAGCATCTTCCTAAAGTAACTACAGTATATGGTGTAGAAACAAGTTTAATAGATGCACTTAATAAGCTCCCTTATGCCAGAGGCATTTATGCATGCCCTACTTTCATGTAAAGAGTAGAGAAAACAGGAATAATGAAATGATAGCCAGAAATACATGTTTCAATGTGCTGAATCAGTTATAGACTGTCCTGCAAGGTTTATTATTTAACACACTCCTTTACCATATTACATGTAGATTCTAAAGATTTATAGCCATTGCGCCTAATTTTCAGAGGTGCTGAGCACATGCAGTGCTAACTGAAGTTTACTGGAGTAGCAGGTGGTCAGCCCCTTTATCCTTAAAATAGCTACGTTTTCCTTAGAATCTGAAAATATTGTCTAAGTAGCTTTCCTGTTTTCCTTCCCAGCTGCCTCATATAACATTTTATGGGATCACTAGGTCAGCATATGATTACAAGTTCAGTTATTGGTTTCACTTGAGTCTAATGCTTTCATGCAGCTTCTAATTTAAACTGTTATCTAAATGTAAAAATCATAGTACCTTCAAACTACTACATCCTTTTTACTTTGTGCTATTGGTCTTAACTCAAAAAGATCTGCAATTTAAATGAATAATATTAAGACCATAGAGATTGTCTTGTATTACTTTGTGGTGCTGCTAATCGTTTACAAGAATTAATTAGGTAACCAATACCTGACATTTACATAGTGCCTTTCATAAAGGGACCCCCAAAACAGTGTGTATATATATGCACAAAAATAATTCCATCACTGAAATGCAGTCACCACAAGGTGCAAGGCACAATCGTTAAGCAGGATGCAGCAATGCATCACAACACCTAACGCAAGAAAATGAAGGGCACTATATCAAATTGACATTGCTGAGGACATTTTGGATAGGCAGAATGGCTGGATGCACAAAAGGAGTTAGGTGCATAAGTCCCGGTTTCAGGACCTCTGCAACGTACAAAACTCCCTCTGAACCCTGTAGGTGCTTTAACTTAACTGGCACCTAAATTTTTGCTGTAAAAGTTCCCTATATACCTATGTTTCTGCCTCTGAACATGCACACTGCAGCCCTGGGATGTGGGGGATCCCTGGTTTAAGTACCCCCCTCCACCTGAGGGGGGGAAGGGATTTAAACAGGGATCTGCTACCTCTCAGGTAAGTACTCTACCATTGAATTATAGGATATTCTGATATGGGGGCTCCCTCAGACTCTCTTGTTGAAGCTGTTCCACTATGAATGAATATATATATTATATATAAAATAATTATATATATATAAAAAAAAAATTCATTGGTGCAGGGGGCTAGATTCTGGATCTTCCACTTCCTGGGTGAGTGCTCTAATCGCCAACCTATAGAATCCTTTTCATGCTTGTTTTCCCTGTCTGTCGCTCTGTGGCCCGAAAGAGACACTAATTATTTATCCGGAATGCAACAGACCTCTATCCTGCTGAAGCTAACTCCTTTTTTGTATCCAGGCCAATATAACTTCCTATTTGGAATTTGGCCAGAACATGGGGTTCCTCATTCCTAAATCCTCTTCCAGATATCCCACTTGGGTTTTAGTGACCACGTTAATCATCCTGGCAAAATATACATGGCCAGTTGGCTTAACACAGTTGTTTATACCGTATTGGTGAATCTAAAATCCAAAAGTAAATGTATATACTGTAATCTAATTGTATCATGCACAGTTGTATATTTTAGAAAATTGGCTTCTGTTTGCTCATGTGTATACAATAGTTGTCCTTACTTATACAGCAGTATGTACCTCCACGAAAGGGCAAGATTGAATGCATCAGTTCCTGCACAAGCCTTATAAATCTCTTTCTGATAAATATTTTATCAATGAAATCCTGTTGCTGCTGTAAATTGTGATCTCATGTAAATTAATCACACATCCAATGTGCTGGATTTTTTTTTTCCAGGTCTACAGTGAGTACAGAGCCAGCCTGGCATTTGACCTTGTTAGCAGTCGACAGAAAAATGTAAGCGTGAAAATAAAAAGGGCATGTTCTTTTATTAACTGATGTCATTGTTTTCAGTAAAGCAAATGTCAATGCCAACAGATATTCAGAAAATGTTCTCTTCTATAACACTGAAATTATATCCTGCTATTGTGCACGTGCAAAATGAAATGAATATTGCACCATGATCTAGTCACATAACTTCTGTTCAGTTCTTCAAATTTCTTGCAGTAAATTGCCTTTGATTTTTAAGAGCAAACTGTGTTTGCACAGGTTTAATTACACCACTATCTCGGTATAACGCGGCCCAATATAACATGAATTCGGATATAACTCGGTAAAGCAGTGCTCCTGGGGGGGCAGGGCTGCGCAGTCCGGTGGATCAAAGCAAGTTCAATATAACGCGGTTTCACCTATAACGCGGTAAGATTTTTTGGCTCCCAAGGACAGCGTTATATCGAGGTAGAGGTGTATGTGATATGTTGGAAGTAAACTGGCTAAACAAGTTTAACAGGGTTTTCCTGAAGTAATTTTGAACTACCTGCAGCCTTTCATAAAATAGATCTACTCTTCCTTCCCATTTAATCTTAGCATAGTTTGGTGACCTACTATAGTTATTTGTACAACATTCATTGGTAATTTTCCTACTACCATATGAATTGCCTATGCAAATCCCTCCTGCCATGCTTGTTACTCCTACATCGTGGATCTGCAGAGGCAGTACATTCAGAGAACTGAGATTACTGGTAAGCAATCTTCCTTTATCAAGCTTATGAATGAAGAAACATAAGTAAAAATCTTTCATACCTTGCCATGGAGAAGAGGGGCTAAATTACCTGGAATACTAATGGAATCTTCATATTATAAATTTTAGGAATAAACTGGATGATTCTGAAAAGTCGTATATTTTATATTTCTTTTTGTGAGGGTGGCTTGAGGAAAATGAGTGCTAATATGATATAACTGTTCTTCAGCATCAGAGAATTTTCAGTACCACATGAGAATTCTCAGGCAAAGTAGACCACTTTTATAGTACCGATGAGAACAAAGCCTTTAATTGGTTTTTTAAAAAGAGGTAAGGAGAGGTGTTATCTTGAGCCTAATTACAGAGGAACTTGGAATGACTATTTAAATTGCTACTATGGTGCTTTAGATAATCACTTTTTCTTTTTCTTTTTTCTTTTTTTTTTTTCTTTTTATTGCAGTGTGGATTTTTGCATGTTATATTTAGGGATCAAAACTGAATTGATAACAAAAATATCTCTAAGTGAAGTGGCAGTAGTGCACTTTTGAAATGCTTTGGCATGGTTTGAGGTATAATTTCCTAATTGCTCTTGATTTAGAGCTCTGTGGCTAATTTTAACAGTCATGTTAGTGTTAATTGTATTCACACAAACAGATATCTACATTTGCATATCCATGTAGATTTCTGTGAAAGCAGTTGTTTACCAGATTTAAATAGTTGCTTCTTTATCAATGTAATATGTATGCTAGTAGTGATTGCTACCTTCCTAGAATGTGTGCCAAGCCAAAATAGGGGAGAGATGCCTCAAATTCCACTTCTTTTTTTGCAGGCATACACAGATTACAGCGATTCTGTTTCCAGGAGAATGGGTTTTATTCCTCTCCCATTGGCTGTTTTAGTAAGTCATATATTTTCATTTTTCAGACCAAAAATCTCTCAGTGGTTAGTAAGAATTCTGCTTAGGGATAAAAGATTAATTCAAGGTCATAGAAAAGTGCTTTATTTTTCTGAAGAAACTCAGTGTGAAATAGATGAGGACCCATGTCTTTGCCACCAGGAGACTATTATTTTTGGTGCTCTATTTTAAGGCCACATAGAAACTGAAGCTGCAGCAGAATAAAGTGAATGATTATTAGATGTAACTTCACGCCAGGAGCGTAAATGCCCCAGGATTTATACAGGCTGCTGCTAAGTTTCCTGGTAGAGTTCATGGTGTTGGGTTTTAACCTGTAAATGAGTTAGGAACCTGATTACCAAAGAAATGCTCTGTCTCTTTCCATTGCTGCCACAGTTGAGGTCAACATACACATATTTGCTGGAGTTTTCTTCATATAACTGAGAGGGAGCTGTCTATTTGGTTATATGGCCACAATCACCCTAATATCTGAGTGGGTCACAAACAATTATTTGATCCTCACAACCCTGTGTGAGGTAGGGAAGCATTATCTTCTTTTTATATATAAGAATGAGTCACAGAGATTAAGTGACTTGACTGAAGTCACATAGGAAGTCTGTGGCAGAGCCAGGAGTTGAACCTACATCTCTTAAATTCAGGTTCAGTGCCTTAACCACAAGATGGTTCTACATGAGGGTCCCTCAACTTCAGAATTCACTCCACTCCTTGGTCCAAAAAAGGCTTAGTTTCTTTATCTTTTGGACATGCTGGAACACCCTTCCTTCCTACCCCACCCCCTGTTATGTGGGAAGGAAGTGAGCTAAGGGTTAGAGGGCTTGATTGTTACTTCTGTGGAGAGGTTTGATGTATGTATAGTTGTTAGTAGGCTGCACAGCTCATTGTGTTGAAAAAATTATGTGAATGTGAAATGAGCACTTCTTTATATTTTAACACCTCTAAATGATGCTACACGTCTGACTTAGCACTCAACATAAGGAAATCTATACCACTTGATACAGAGTCATGACATGATGTATGTGTTAGTGTTTATCCTCCCAGCATAGAGGGTTAAATGCAGATTACTACTATGGAATTTATAATGACTTGGACCATTATAGTGGAACAGGCTACCGCCATACTGATTGAACATTTATTCCTTTTGGCAAGTATCCTGATTGTTCAGTCAGAATAGCAAAAGCAGCTGGCTGCCAGGAAGCTGACAGTTGTGCAGGTTTCTAAGGCTCTTGGTAGGAAAATTTTTATAAAACACCTTCAGTTTTTTCTTATCATGTCCTTCCCTGCACTGGTATGTTCAGTGGCTTAGGGCTTGTCTGCACGGGGGAGGTGACCAGAATAACTATTGTGGTATAAACTGTTCTGGATTAGCTCCCTGTGTTCCCTCCCCCTACTCCTCCCCCAACTCCCCAGCCCATGTCGGCATGCTATTCCAGAATTAAAGGCACTTTATTTTGGAATAATTAGTGCATTTTGTGATTTCTGAGCACATAAATTATTCTGAAATAAAGTGACTTTTATTCTGAACTAGTGACTACAAAGGGAGCTATTCTGGAATACCATATTCTGCAATCATTGTTCTGGTCAATTTCTCTGTGTAGGCGAGCCCTTAGTCATAATGGCATTGGACAGAAGCACCAACTCTGCCATCAAAGTTCCATAATGTTACTGGTAGAGTGATTAGTGATGTAACATTTTTGGTTTTTTTTGTTGCAATACTGTCCCACAGGGATCGAGCAAAAATGTTACTGATAATTTTGTCTAGTTAAGTTCAGCAGGGACCAACATCTACTATGGTCAAAATTACAGTTATCTACTTAGACTTCAATTATGGAATGCATCCCTATTCAAGATGGGACTTAAGTACATGTCTAAAGTTCAACATGTGCTGAAATGCTGTCCTTAACAAGGATGGACTTAAGCACAAGCTTAAGTGTTTTCCTGAATTGGGGCCTTAACTGCTACACTGAAAACGAACTTGTGATTTCTTGGTGTTCAAACTTCGCAAGCAGATAGATTCTATAACATGCTGAGTCCACAAAATAGCTGTCTCAAGTTTTCTTTAGTGCAATTCTGGTTCACTACATCAATATCTTTAATGTGATTTCCGCACATACATATTGGGTAGTTTCCTCAGATATTTGTATCAGTAACTGGTATCCTCTTCCACCCCATCATTTCTTTCTTGATTCTTCAAAGAAGTCATAATGCTGAACTTGATATCAATCATTTATATAGCAACAGACTGTAGAGTTATTACTAGAATTTAGGGCTGTCAGGTGATTAATCACGTGATTAATCACACGGTTTTGTTTTTGAGTGCATTATGTAACAAAAAAAATCTACATTTCTAAGTTGCGCTTTTACGACAAAGATTGCACTACAGTACTTGTATGAGGTGAATTGAAAAATACTATTGCTTTTGTTTCATTTTTACATTGCAAATATTTGTAATCAAAAATAATATACACGTTGATTTCAGTTACAACATAGAAAACAATACATATGAAAATGTAGAAAGACATCCAGCAATATTTAATAAATTTCAATTGGTATTCTCTTGCTTAACAGTGCGATTAAAGCTGCGATTAATCACAATTAATTTTTTGAGTTAATTGCTTGAGTTAACTGCGATTAATCAACAGCCCTACTAGAATTACAACTCTATTGCAAGTCAAGTAATAGCAGATACTCGTGTAATATTTATTCAGATAATTCTTGAATAATTAGCAATAGCAAGAGGAATACAAAGTTAATTGTCCTTAGTATAAATATTCTCATTTTTGTCAAACTTCACTCGATGTAAATGCCCTCTTTAAATATTCTATTAATTATTAATCTATGTGCCTGAACTGTTGAACTTTTATTTTTAAAACAGCTCATCAGAGTCGTAACAAGCTCAATAAAAGTACAAGGAGTCTTGGCTTATGCCTGTGTTGTGCTCTTCTATTGTGGGTAAGCGGAACACAAAAGAAGCAATTATTGAACAGTATTTACTGTTATTTAACTAAAAGATTGTAAGAAACAATTTGCTCTGTTGATGTTTCAAGGTACAGTCATAATACAATCTCTTCTCCATGGAGCCCAATAGGTGTGAAATTTACATAAAATGCATTGCAGAACAGTCATAGTTGGATCTAGCAGCAGAAGCTGAGATTACCTGTATGGAGCTCACACTCTTTGCAGAAGTACATGCTTTAGCTGAGGCATGGGAGAATAAAAATAACAGCCTCTGAGCAATTTGCAGATAAACTTTTGCATCAGTTTCAGAGCCTTCCTTTTCAATTAGTGAGAAGTTATGATTATGGTCAACAAAATGAGACCAGAGTTTAAAAGGGAGGAGAAGATGGGTGCAAAGGGATTGTAGGGTTGGGTTTTTGTTGTTTTTTGTTTTGTTTTTTTAAGAGTGGGTGAGAATGCAAGGGATAATACTTGAATTATCGTTCATGACTGGGTCAAATAGGGTATAAGGAGTGTTTTATATATTTCTTATTTGAATTAAACGTGTGTTATTTTACATTTCCTGAGGTTATATGTAATCCTAGCTATTTAATATAGTGATTAGCTTATCATACGACCTCACAGAATCTTGTACAATAATTAATAATGCTGTGTTTGCTTAAACCAGAGGCATAAAACCCCCAGCTGAGAAAAGTTAACTTTGGCAGTTGGCCAGAAGCTCGAGGACTACATCAAATTTGGATAGAATGGAGCAGACGGTAGTCACCCTGATCTGGAGCACACAAGTGCTGCCCTTAGAAAAAATAGGTCCTCACATACATTTAATCTAAATCCAAGTGGAGGTGGATATCTGTAGTTTTTCTGTGCCATATTTATGATTCACAATAAGGTAGTTGAATGCCTCATTTGGGCTTAAGGGGACATTTTGGCTCATTCCCCACCTGAAACAATTTTCAACTAATTAATAAATAAGACTGCAAGTAAATACAAAATGCTCGTGCATTTAAAAACTAAAATTGAAATAGATTTTTATAGTGTGCAAAGTAGACACATGTAACTGCTAATGACCACGATTGTATTCAATGACTGAATACTTATACCACTCAACTGGTAAACTGAAGAACTTGGGGAAAAAAAGATTTTAAATTGAAAGATCATATGACAAACAATGCCGCCTTGCACATTGGGTATTATTGAAGCATATGCCTTCCTGGATAAACTCCCTCTGGAAAGAGCTAAATATGTCAAGCAGTAACCACACCCAGAGAATCATTAAGGGTATTGTATGGGTGAAGCCTTAAGGTTCCTACCTATTGCAAAGCTGCTGCACAGAAGGAGGGTAGATGCCCAGACTCTCCTTTCTAGGCCATGTGGTCTCAGTAAGTAGCCTTGGGCTCATAGGTGCCAACTCCATGGGTGCTCCGGGCCTGGAACACACCTGGGGGAAAATGGTAGGTAATGAGCACCCACCAGCAGCCCCTCTATCAGCTCCCCACCCCACTCCCAGTGCCTCCCGCCCACTGGCGGGCCCTGTGGTTCAGCGCCTCCCACCCGCCATTATCAGCTGTTTCACGGCATGCAGGCAGAAGAGTCTGAGGGAGGGGAGAGCAAGCAGGGGAGGGGGCAGAACTGAGTGGAAAAAGGCGGGGCAGGGTTGGGGCCTTGGGTGAAGGGTGGGGTGGGGCTTGGGTCAACCCCGAGCCACACACCCCCTCCCCCCGAACTTTGGAAAGTCGGCGTCTGTGCTTGGGCTAGAGGTTTCCCAGATATAAAACTCAGGGGCTGGGGCAAGTTGAGAAGAATATCTGGGCATGTTTTCACTATAACATTAACCCAGATTCTTACATTCACATATAAAATCCTCTGTCCCAAGCTGAGTGGTGCTTTCAGCCCCAGCTAGTTGGCCTGTCCGGTGGTATAGACTAAAGTCTGGGTGCTGCTTTCAGATGGGCTGGTTACCAGCCCACTTTGCTGTGAGGATGCAAGATAAACCCTTTGAATGCTGATAGTCCTTCAGTGCTTTCTAAAAATTCTCCAACAGTTAGCATCTCAGTTTAGTGCAGCACAAAACTATGGGATACGCCCACTGAAATCCTAGCAAATCTCACTAGTGAGCGCAGCACCAGTGAGGATATTGTAACTTGAGTGTGTCTTTTCAATGTGTCTGCTCACACCCAGGCTAGGCAAAACCAAGTTAACTGCAGAGAAGACTGACATCCTGCTCAGGCCACCCTGAAGTGTGAGCCACTGTGTTATCCTTCAGCCTCAGCAAATGAGAGTTTTGCTGTTGCTCAGCTGTGTATCAGGCCAGCAAACTCTTCAGGACTCTGCCAGTTGGTTTAGCTGAAGACTCCCACTTCACTTTAATATACCAGAACTGAGATAGTTTTGTAACAAAATAAGAAGAAGTTTGAGTACAGAGATTTAAGTGATACTAGGCAAGAATAAAAGATATTGGTCTGGTTACAAACAAAACAAAACAAGCTTTCTAGTGACTAAAACTTAATTTTAGCAAGTTACAATTTTTGCCTGAGCAGTTTCTCACTATATAAAGTTTCCAGCAGCTCTTGCCTTTCAGGCCATGAGGATCCAGCTTTCCTAGGTGCTGTATGTACCCTGTTGTCCCCTCAGTGATGGATAACTAAAAAATCTTTTTCCTCCCCTTATATTACTCAAACTCCATTGTCTCTGCCTCAAGAGCCAGGAAGTCTTCCTGGGGTGCAGATTTTGTCCCTCAGCATCATTGTTAAACGCTCTTCTCCCCTGCTCATTTAGCTTGATGGCTTTGTTTACCTTATATGTAAATGTACTTCCATTGTCTTCTGCTGGTAACCAAGCCAATCAGACTGGTGAATACACATTCCTTTGTCTAGGGCAGACTGAGTTTTATGCCCTGTCTTCCAAGACATATTTTAAGTACACATTTCCAACACAAATCTATAACTTTGTACCCAACCCATACGTGCATCATACAATGATTTCCAGGACCTGCGTGTCACCAGTTTATATATAATTTATGTGTCACTTTTTAGATATATATTATGACAACAGTGTGTTGATGCAGTATGTGTGTCAGGCCTGATGTGAGTTACAGTATGGGGTGAGACCCCTCAGCCAGCTGGCGTTGAAGGGCTCCCAGGGTCACAAAGGGCATTTCTACACAGCAAAGAGAAACCCATAGCTGGCCTGTATCAGCCAATTAGGGCTCAGGCTGCGGAGCCGTTTCACTGCTGTGTAGACATCTCGGCTCGGGCTGGAGCCCGGGCTCTAGGACCCTGCGAGGTGGGAGGGTCCCAGAGCTCAGGCTTCAGCCCAAGCCCGGAAGTCTACACAGCAGTGAAACAGCCCCACAGATCAAGAGCCCAAGTCAGCTGGCACAGGCCAGACACTGGTTTTTCTTTGCTGTGTAGACATACTCAAAGACATACCCTCTGTGTTGAGCAGTAAGACTTGGGTATGGCCTTAGAGAGAAACAAAGTGCAGGAATCCTGGGTCCAGGGCAGAAGTGCCTGGTCTGAGGTTTCTGCAGGAAGGGAGTTGTCTGTGTGTTGTTTGTTACCACCCCAATTCAAAGAAACAGGGCCTGTGCACATTTTGTAAATAAAAAAATTACACCAATAAAACACCTGACTCCAACTCACCAGTTCTGCTCCAAATGGGACATTGACCTTCAAAATGGCAGGAGACAGAGTCTATAGTGATGTGTTAAGTATATATGAATTAAGACAGCTGTGACCTGTTTCTTCTTTGGATTTAGTTTTAGATTAGATTTTGTCATACTATATGAATTTCAAAGTGAGAATGGACCTTATTCTTTTGCTGTGATCTCAGGTTTAGAATTAGTACATCTCCTAAATCCTCTGAGTAATTCCAAGTTCTGCACACTGCTTTCAGTGTCTGTAATTATAATCTACATAAGTGGAATTATCTGCAATGTGAGAGAATTTAGGTATAATACAGATGTGAGAAACACTGCCTAGATAAAGCTTTAAGATTTTATCACAAAGGATTTAGATTAAAATAAGGAGGAAATTGTTTTGATGGGGTGCAACAATAATTCTTTATTAAGTTACATTATTAAATGTAATCAAAAATATTAAGTCTTGCCTAATATTTGTAATTTGTGTTTTGGTTTAATTTTATGATTTTGAGCTGTTCACAGTAAACTAATCTGACCCACTTCTGCCCTCCCAGTAGTTAGAAACCCAAAGCCCTGTGACAGAAATTTTTTTGGAAGCTCTTATGTAATCCATGACGAAAATCTGGTATTAATACATCAGATGAGTGAGTTGTAACCCACCAACATCCTGATCCAACTCTCATTGAATTGGATTAGGCCATGAAACCTTCATTTTTTGAAATAATAGTACATATCTGTGAAAGTATCTTGTTTTGGAAAAAACTCCTGAAGGCCTTTTTGGAAAGGTGGTGTGGGGAAAGAAAACATGTCTTCGTAGAAAGAAAAACTATTATCATAGAAGATTAGGGCCAAAGAGACCTCAGGAGGTCATCTAGTCCAACCCCCTGCTCAAAGCAGGACCAACTAAATCATACCAGCCAGGGCTTTGTCAAGCCGGGCCTTAAAAACCTCTAAGGATGGAGATTCCACCACCTCCCTAGGTAACCCATTCCAGTGCTTCACCACCCTCCTAGTGAAATAATTTTTCCTAATATCCAACCTAGACCTCCCCCACTGCAACTTGAGACCATTGCTTCTTGTTCTGTCATCTGCTACCACTGAGAACGGCCTAGCTCCATTCTCTTTGGACCCGCCCCCCCTTTCAGGTAGTTGAAGGCTGCTATCAAATCCCCCCGACTCCTCTCTTCTGCAGACTAAATAAGCCCAGTTCCCTCAGCCTCTCCTCATAAGTCATGTGTCCCAGCCCCCTAATCATTTTCTTTGCCCTCCACTGGACTCTCTTCAATTTGTCCACATCCTTTCTGTAGTGAGGGGCCCAAAACTGGACACAATACTCCAGATGTGGCCTCACCAGTGCCGAATAGAAGGGAATAATCACTTCCTTCCATTTGCTGGCAATGCTCCTATTAATGCAACCCAATATGCAACAAGGGCACACTGTTAACTCATATCCAGCTTCTCGTCCACTGTAATCCCCAGGTCCTTTTCTGCAGAACTGCCGCTTAGCCATTCGGTCCCCAGCCTGTAGCAGCGCATGGGATTCTTCCGTCCTAAGTGCAGGACTCTACACTTGTCCTTGTTGAACCTCATCAGATTTCTTTTGGCCCAATCCATCAATTTGGATAGGTCACTCTGGACCCTATCCCTATGCCCCAGTGTACCTACCTCTCTCCCCAGCTCAGTGTCATCCGCGAACTTGCTGAGGGTGCAATCCATCCCATCATCCAGATCATTAAAGAAGATGTTGAACAAAACCGGCCTCAGGACCAACCCCTGGGGCACTCCGCTTGATACCAGCTGCTAACTAGACATCGAGCCATTGATCACTACCCTTCGAGCTCAACGATCTAGCCAGCTTTCTATCCACCTTATAATCCATTCATCCAATCCATACTTGCTGGCAAGAACACTGTGGAAGCCCGTATCAAAAGCTTTGCTAAGGTCAAGATATATTACGTCCACCGCTTTCCCCATATCCACAAAGCCACTTATCTCATCATAGAAGGCAATCATGTTGGTCAGGCATGACTCGCCCTTGGTGAATCCATATTGATTGTTCCTGATCACCTTCCTCTCCTCCTTGATGGGATAACGTGATTTTAGTCAATAGGTCAATAACGTGCCACTGCTGGTAATTAGTAACAATGGTCAATGAGGGTCTGGCTGGAGAATCTTGCCCGCATGCTCGGGGTTCTGCTGATCGCCATATTTGGGGTCGGGAAGGAATTTTCCTCCAGGGTAGATTGGCAGAGGCCCTGGAGGTTTTTCGCCTTCCTCCGCAGCATGGGGCAGGGGTCGCTTGCTGGAGGAGTCTCTGCAACTTGAAGTCTTTAAATCATGATTTGAGGACTTCAACAGCTGAGTCAAGGGAGAGAATTATTCCAGGAGTGGGTGGGTCAGCTTTTGTGGCCTGCATCATGCAGGAGGTCAGACTAGATGATCATAATGGTCCCTTCTGACCTTAAAGTCTATGAGTCTAACTGCTTCAAATGGATTCCTTGAGGACCTGCTCCGTGATTTTTCCAGGGACTGAGATGAGGACCTCCCCCGATCACCATGAGTTTTCAAAGATAATGGCCAGTGGCTCTGCAATCACATCAGCCAACTCCCTCAGCACACTCGGATGCATTAGATCCAGACCAATGGACTTGTGCATGTCCAGCTTTTCTAAATAGTCTTTAACCTGTTCTTTCACCACTGAGGACTGCTCACCTCCTCCCCATACTTTGCTGCCCAGTGCAGTAGTCTGGGAGCTGACTTTGTCTGTGAAGACCTAGGCAAAAAAAAATTGAGTTCTTCAGCTTTTTCCACATAATCTGTCACTAGGTTGCCTCCCCCATTCAATAAGGGTCCCACACTTTTCCCTGACCACCTTGTTGCTAACATACCTGTAGAAACCCTTCTTGTTACCCTTCACGTCCCTTGCTAGCTGCAACTCCAATTGTGCTTTGGCCTTCCTGATTACACCCTTACATGCTCGAGCAATATTTTTATACTCCTCCCTAGTCATCTGTCCAAGTTTCCACTTCTTGTATGCTTCCTTTTTGTGTTTAAGCTCACCAAAGATTTTTCTGTTAAGCCAAGCTGATCGCCTGCCATATTTGCTATTCTTTCTTCACATCGGGATGATTTGTTCCTGTGCCCTCAATAAGACTTTTTTAAAATACAGCCAGCTCTCCTGGACTCCTTTCCCCCTCATATTAGGCAAGATCCCCTGGGATCAGTGCCCTGAGGGAGTCAGTCTGAAGTCCAGGGTCTGTATTCTGCAGCTCTCCTTCCTTCCTTCCTTTTGGCAGGATCCTGAACTCTACCATCTCATGGTCACTGCTGTGCAGGTTGCCATCCACTTCTACTTCCGCTACCAATTCTTCCCTGTTCGTGAGCAGTAGGTCAAGAGGAGCACGGCCCCTAGTTGGTTCTTCCAGCACTTGCACCAGGAAGTTGTCCCCAACACTCTCCAAAAACTTCCTGGATTGTCTGTGCACTTCTGTATTGCTCTCCCAGCAGATGTCAGGGTGTTTGAAGTCCCTTATGAGAATGAGGGCCTGTGATCTGCAAACTTCTGTTAGTTGCCCCAAAAAAAAGCCTAGTCTACCTCATACTCCTGGTCTGGTGGTCTATAGCAGACGCCCATCACGACATCACCCTGTTCTCTTACCCTAATAGAAGGGACCTTATAGAACCACAGTTACAGACCTGGGGGAATCTAATTTCGTCTAGTTTGTGGTACTTGGGTACCAAAGTGAGAGGTTCCTTTTTAAATACTGAAGATTGTCTGCTCTGCATATCCTCCTATACCTCTAAGAGACTTACTTTTATAGGAAAATTTATTACATTTGAGAGAGAAATGTTGTATGCTACATTTTTCTTTTTGACATGATTTGTGTTAATGCATTGTGAGATAGTTGAGTTGCTACTGAAGTATACTTTGGTCTTTTTATAATGCACAAATCAGACCTGCTCTAAGGCTTTTAATTTGAAAACATTCACTTTTTCTGCATTTAGATTATCATCACAATGTCTATTAAGATTTCCATAATCAGTGGGTTCCCACATTCTTCTCTACCTATTTACTATCCTAATGTTGAGCAGGGATATAGGGCTCCATCCAAACTCTATCACAACTGCTGCAGGGCTATCTAATGAGAGAAATAAAAGGTACTCTTGCAGCTCCTTGAGTGAGAAACAAGTTCAGGAGACCCGAATTCTGAGCCCAGAATAGCATAGAACCATCAAACTAGCCTGTAAATCAAAGCTCTAAATCACAGCTGCCTTCATCTTCAATATGGAGACGTAGTCTAAAAATATTTAAGATCCTAGCATTTGATGTTCTGTCAGTAGTAGTAGTAGTAATTAGCTTTTATAAAGTGCTTTTCATCTATAAATCTCAAAGCACTTTACAAAGGTAGAAAAGCCTCTTTCCCATTTTACAGATGGGAAAACTGAGGTAGAGAGAACTAAAGTGACGTGCCGAAGTTCACACAGCAAATCAGTGGCAGAGGCAGGAAAAGAATTTAGGTGTCCACTATCTACTGGGTCATGTTACTCCCAGCCTGGCTTCTCAAATAGAAATGGAATATTGCATGATGGAACTTGTAGACTCTCTGGACCACACACCTCAGTATTAAAGCTGTGGGCTACTGCAATTTGGTCATTTTATGGAAATTAGGTGTAGTCTTTGAACTCCTTATGTGGCCCATGGTTGTTCAAAGTTTGAGAGCTCCACATAGTGTGCATTATTATTATTATTAGAGATGCTTCAAAGCTATCACAGACCTGCTGTTATTTTTGATATGCTCTTCAAAGTAGATGTTTAAATACCGAATGTATTGAAAATTTACTGAAATTCCCATAGCTGCTCCATGAAGTAAACACTGATATTAAGTAACTAAAATACTAATATTAGGATCCAAATGACTTCTAGCAACATTTGATATTTTTACCCTATGAAACTCTTTACGTTAAAACATTGAGCCTGAAACCAAATTAGTGTGCTGCTTTTTTTGGGGGGTGGGGGGCGTATGTCTATAGGCCATAAGAAAGAGCCTTACAGTTGGAAGGATTAGCTAACAAATTAAATCCCTTCCAAACAGCAGAAACCATACATGAAACTGTTTTTATATGTCTTGCGTCTGATGAAGTGGGCATTCACCCACGAAAGCTTATGCTCCAATACTTCTGTTAGTCTTAAAGGTGCCACAGGGACCCTCTGTTGCTTTTTACAGATTCAGACTAACACGGCTACCCCTCTGATACTTGTTTTTATATGAACATCCACTAATGCAAATATGTAAATGTACCCTTTTATCTTTCAGGTTAATTTCACTAAAAGTCCTTAACAGCATTGTGTTGTTGGGCAAGTCATGCCAATATGTAAAGGAGGCAAAAATGGAAGAGAAGTTGTTCAATCCTCCCCCTACTAGCACCCCAGGCAAACCACTCAGCAAACCCCAAAGCAAATTTAAATCTCCTCAAGGTAAGTTTAACTGCTTGTTCTGATGATCAGTGAAAAGGAAACTGTTTCCAGATTAAATTTAATATTCAGTCAGCTGTTCCCCTCTCTGCTGTTCAACAGTACCTTTACCACAAACTGTACCACATGATAACTATGCTTTGGTTCACATGTAAGGACTGTGAGCATACACCTAGCAGCTGGAGCACAGTTCTGTAAACAAAATAATTATTTTCCATTATTCAGTGCTTCATCCTTCACAGACGTAAATATTCTCCACTACAATAAAATTCCACCAGGGTATGGGAAAGGAGGTAGGGAAGCAAAATGAGGACTAGTACTGACTTTGTGTGCATGTCTGTGCGCATTTAGAGGAGCACCTTCTTGTAAATGCTGATATTTCACATTTGGCTTGAGCTCTGACAATATTGTCGTTTCATAAGGAATGTTCCATTGAATTCTTACAGAAATGCAGGCAAAATATGACATGCAGCAGGTACAATTACTTAAAATTGTAATGAAGATAGGAAGATTTCAGGCAGCTTTTCATTCTCTAAGTGAGATTAATGTTAATTCTCCTAGTCTGAGATTTGCCTCCTTGTTTTTTGTTTTGTAGTATATAAGGTGGTTTTCTTAGTCTTCTGCAGTTTATATATAGCACCTTTAACATCAGTGTTAAAAAAACCTCTGTTACTAATAGATAATTGTAATGGTGTATTAGTTTTTTTATATCCCTCTTTGACATAATATGGGGGAAAACAGAAACCTTCACTGTTCTGATCAACAAAGTTGGAGTGTATATCATCTCTGGGAAGAATCCAGTGGAAGCCCCTGAGAATTTAACAGTGAGGCTTTATTGTGTTCTACTCTGTTTGCCAAAGACTTGAACAGCATGAAATGTAAGGTGTTTATTAGACATCGTAGTGTCTCGCCAGCAATAGTAGAGTTAAGAGTCTGTCAGCATTTCAGTTATAAAACCCTATATCTCAACTGTGTCAAATCACATTGAGGTGAACTTAGTGCATACATTTATTTTAAAATGGCTTAAATCCATAACATTGGTGGTTTTGGTTATATGGTGAAAAAACTTACATACAGTAGGTCTGGATGCTTTTTCCACGCTTTCACTAGAAAATGTTGCAGTATTACAGTACTAATTTTTTCTTAAATTATAAAATATTTTAATACTTCATTTTGATGTGGGACTTAATAATTCGTGTTTTAAGGGTTGACCATTAAAACTTACCAACAGTTCCCAGTAAATACACCCTGAAGACTATTTTTAGCTGAAGCAGCAGTAAGCTTACCAGGTCAGTCCAGCAGAGAGCTTATGCCTCAAATGACACAATTTTATAAGAAGCAGAGACCTATATAGTTCTATGAATGTCACTTAAAAAATATTCTCGGCTTCTATAAAATCCTCAAAGGTGGAAGAAGCTTAATTCTTCAATGCCATCACTTCGTTTTATAAATACAGTGACTCTTAACAATTGTTTCCCTGTAAAGCCAGATCATATGTAAGAATTTTTCTAGCTTGCCTTCACTCCTGTCTATTCATTATTATTGCAGAATTCTGCATTATTGATTAATCCCTGTGTCCCAATTATAGGCTTGAACAGCACAGCATCTATTGCTAGCAATATAATCACTGGTGTCAATGAATTCATCTAACCTACTTTCCTTCAGCCTATAGTATCAGGGTAGTTTATTTTCCTGAGAATTTGCACCTTTCTCATAGGAATGTACACAGTTGCAATTACCCTGGGTAAAGTTTGAAACTACTCTTGAAGAATAAGCTCACTAATTAGACTGGTGGTAATTTTTAAATTGAACAGTGGCTTCCTCTGGAAATTGTTCAATGGAAAGATACCTACCTACATATTGAAGCTCTACATTGAACCTTGTTATGATTGTTCTTCCCTGGTGGGTGCAGTATGTTTTACTTACACAGGACTTATTAAATTACTCCAAAGATTGCTTATTTTCCTAAAAAATATACAAATGACTGGAAGAGGTGATATGATAGAGAAGCTGCTTTATAAAGTAGTTGTCTGGAACTAGTAATGATATGGTCTTACACATTGCTGCAATATTTCTGTTGTAAACCCCTATTTTGATGTTTATTACTTTTGTCAGATAATGTTCTCTTGGCTGGGTCTTACAACAGCTTCTCAAACCAAGCCAGATGTTTTTCAAAAACTCCCTTAAAATATGTTAGTTATCTTGTTTCTAAGAGGAGGGAAAAAATAACTTGTCGCTCTTTGGGATGGGGAAAATCATGCATTTTCAGCTGTTTCAAAATTTATATTTTAATACAGCATAGAAATGTGTTAAGTGTTCATACATAACTGCCTTTTTAAAATTGTATTAATAAACCCAATGTTCAGTTCTATGGAACAAAAAGAAGGAATCCTGACAAATCAGGCGGTTCATAGTTATTTAGGGATCCAATGCTATAAAAATACACACATTAATTATTTTACCGTATCTGAACCTTCTCCATGGGATAAAACTTAGGGCATCCAGCTTTCCTATGCAGATTAGTTAGGGATACAATCCTGTCACTGGTAACATAGGTAGATTCTTTCACAGAAATCAGATCTGTTACTACTGTTGATTGGGATCATTTCAACTGGCTTCAGATGGGATGGATGGAGAAAACAAACTTATTACACAAACCATCAAAAACAGGCAAGTAAATCAGAAACATACCATATGGCTTTCTGTAACATGCCACAATGATCATGACCTTTATCTGCTTGTTTTATTGCATCCCATTGTTCTTTAATATTGGATGACATATGGTATATTCCTGGCTTTCCTGGACTTCTTTATTTTGCTGGATTTGTATCACAACATTAATGGAAATTCATACACAATATTTTATTGCATTAGTAAGCATTCTAGGTTCCTAATTGCAGTGGTAACAAAAAGTGAAGTGGTTTGACAGGATATTCAGAAGTATCTGGTTTCCAAAACTGGTTCATTTATTTTGTACTACTTTTATTGTTCGCATGGCTAACTTTCTCAGCTCTCAATGCAGCTTTGATGATGGACAGATCTGTCAATTTCAGATTCATTGATGTGCTTATACAATTAACACATTTTTTTTAAATTCTGATTTTCTGCTCTTCCAACAGGAATTCCCACAGACGAAAGTTTCTCTGCATCAGTTACCAATCAGCCTGTACATCAGAAGGAAAATCCTACGTCTTTACTTGTGACAAGCAACTCTGATCAATTCCTGACGACTCCTGATGGAGAAGATAAAGATATAAGCCAAGACAATTCAGAATTAAAACACAGATCTTCAAAGAAAGATTTGTTGGAGATAGACAGGTTTACTATTTGTGGAAACAGAATTGACTAAGTTTTCTGAATAGATGTGCTTAGGATACTGAGCTGTTGGGACAGCAAATGCTACCAGAATGGACAGTTGCCAAAAAAGGCACTTAAATATTTATTTAAAAACTTAAATTATTAATGGCAAACAGATATTAATTTTTACAAGTAACTAGGCTTGGTAGCTGGTCAGATCAAGTAACAGAAATCTTTAACTTGGCTCTTTGGAAAGTATAATGGACTGTGAGAGTCTCTTGTCTATTTGGCAGAGCTACAGTATCGCTGTCTTGGAAATAGACTGAAAAAATCAAAATCCTGTTTTGCTTTTTGAAACCATGCTTCCAGAACATATCATTTTTCATCAAGGTCTCTCCAGTATAAGGATATACCTGGAAATATGTGACAACTTTAATAGGAAGCTCATCTTTCCAGTCTCATGTTGTTTTCATAAACAGCTGCAGATTTCAAAACTTGTACTTATCAGTGAACACATAAAAAAGCACTGGTAGATTAAACAGTAAGTCAAGATAATTATTCTTGTCACCAGAAAAATCTTTGAAGATGTATCAGAACTAATCAGAATAAAATACTACAGTATCTTAAATGAAAGACCTACTGCATAGTATTTTATCTAAAATCTAAACCAGCGACGGAAATGGATCACAAATACAAAGAAATACAGTGAAGGTTCCACATAACTGGGCAAACTCAGCTTCATCATTATTCTGTTCAATTACAATGTGTTCTGCAAGGCAAACTATATACATTTATAAATGCTATATGAAAGGCTTTTTTTAAAAAAAGCTGAGGCTTGTTTTTTGCAATGGGAAGCATTTTGTTACCAAGTGACACTTCTTTATATTGAGAAAAGGTAGTGTGAACTGCAGCCAGCAACACCAGTGTTGCATTAATTCCAGATAATTCCAATGCAATGGAAGAAATAATTACTCACTACATTTTGGTTTAAACAAGTTGATAAAAATGGCATCTATATATTAACTTAGCTGGAAAAATTGCCCATAGAATAATTATACAGAAAATCAGAAGTGTCCATTTTAATTGATGGATTTTAAGCAAACTTAAGTAGCTATGAATAGCTTTGTTATGAAACGCTTGGTTTTATGAAGTATAATGCATCTTAATTTCTGGTGTGTGTGGCAAGGTTGGGGGAATTGATGAAAGGCATGTTGAATCCCTCAAGAATGAACTGCATTTCAGCTCAGTAACTAGGCTAGAGAAGTGAATCAAAAGACAATCTTTCATCCAGTGATGAATCCTACATTTGCTGTTAAAATGTAACATTAACCTCTATTTTCTCTCTCAAAACCTTTCAAAAGATTTAAGTTGATGTCTGCTAAATTATTTCCCTTGGAATTTTATTTTGGTTTTTTGATATGATACAGATATTTCAGTGATGAACAAACCACAGGATTTCTTTTATTAACTAATTTGTAATCTATTGGAGTTTAAAAGCCAAAGTTTAATGTTTGATTTATGAATAGGAAATGTGGAAGAATTCCTAAAATCTGCAGAGTTGTATTAATATGACAGAACAGAGAAATGTACAGAAATAATGTTATGAAACAGATCAGAATGTGAAGTTGTCATGAAAAATGGCTTTACTATACAAGTCAACATCATCTGCTCTAAAGGGAGCCTCTTGCTGCCCCTTCTGCTCCCCCACCAACAGCAGCTGCAGTAGTGTCCAGAATCAATTGAAATGGCTGGGGTGAGGGGGAGAGGAGAGTCTAAAATGCTTTTATTTTGGGTGTATTTTATGCTCCTTGAGAAATTTACACATTCAAATTCAATTCAGATCGTCTGCGAATTTTTCAGTTATTTAACAGTTGCTAAAGGAAGCTTGGAATGATTTTCATCTGTTAAATGACATTCTGTACCAATTTTATAAGTGCATCTTGTGTGAAACTCAATAAAATTCAATTTCGTAATCTTTGTTTAAAAAAAGGAAAAGAATGGATTGGATTTCTTTGCAACAGTTGTCAATTTTGAATACTGCAGTGTGACTTCTGCATATTCTGGTTTCATGATGAAGAACTTATTTTTTACAAGCATAGGACAAGCAGCCTACTTTAGACCTGGTTTTAATACTGGTTTTGTTCTTGTGTACTCATCACTATGTCAAACCCACAGGAAGTACTAATGTCAGCCTACTGTTAATCTGAATGCTAATTGTTTAGAGACAGAATCAAATTGAAATCCAGTCCATTTTTTTAAAGTAGGCTTTTTTTGTTTCAATTGCCCTTATATCACCCTGTTAATTTTTGTGGTTTTACATTCCATGTTCCTATTCTTAGTGTCTTTCCTCCCTTACTGTAAGAAAGACCTACACAAACAAGGGGAACTGACTGTACAAAGTATTGTCAAGTGCAAAAGTTAAAAAAAAAAAAAAAAAACCCAACTCTTGTTTTTGAAAAAGTTAGTTGCAATAATAGCAGGTTTTTAAAAAAAAAAACTTCCTATAGAAATGTGATTTGTAAATATGTGACCATTTAAAATGAAGCCTATTAAATATATTGTATTTCCATTTATTCTGTGAACACACTTTGCAGGTGACTTGTAGCAACTACATAGTTAGGGTTGTGTTCTAACGGGGCTTAAAATGGGATATACATTCCTTTTTTCCCTCTAAAATATCACACAGGGTTAGTTTATATGATATCTGGATTATTTATGTACTTCATACAAACCATACATACTTGATTTCTCTTCAGAATGTTAATAGGAAGTCTTTGAAATAGGGCGCTTGCTGAAATTTTTCCTTGTCATCCTAGTTTGTACTGAACACTGTCCACATAAAACTTTTTCGAGAGGTGTGCTAACTAGAACTGGTGCAAATGCAAATCTGATTGATGAGAACTAGACAATCCAAACCTGACTGACTGGGGTAGGCCGCCAACTCGCTTTCAGTAACTACCCATTTATGTCAGATTTTAGCCTACAACAGGATTGCTGCATTTCTACTACCACACAGGTTTGGCTTTCCCACTCCCTTTCAAGCATTAAAAAAACCTAGGAAACTAATAAACAGAAAATTTCATTGCAAAGCACTTAAGGTTGCTACGCACAATATACCTGACAAATCTCCCCACAAAAGCAAATAAATGAGAAGTAAATATTAATGCCTACCTATCCAGACCCTCTATTCCTCCACCTGCAGGCACATATCACTACTACTATACACTACAGACCATGTCCTGCAAATTTCACAGCTCCCTAGAACTGCCAGCCTTCCATCACCTCTCTAACTGCCCTTCTACTCAGAATCCTTTATTAGATTACCCTCTCCAAACATGATAGACTACTGCACCAAACTTCATTAGTGTTGGGGAATATATAATGTGGTAAAGTAGCATGTACAGAAGAATGAAAAGGAGGCAGTTAAAGTTGCAATGTGTGATCTGTGGCCCTCACTTGGTTTTAAGGTCACTTTAATTCTGAATGTGTGTGTCCACACTGGGGTTTAATGCAGTTTAACTAATCTGATTTAAATTCACAGTTTTCATTAATTCACAGTAATTTTCCTGAGTGTCTCCAGGTAGATAAGCCTGTCTGCATTGCAGCTGGGAGCCTGCCTCCCAGCTTGGTAGACAAACTTGCACTAGCGGGACTCGAGCTGCATGTTAAAAATAGCAGTATGGATGTGTGGCTTAGGCTTTGCAAGCCCACCTGACACTGTAGGCGCCTCCTACAGTTTCTTATTTGCTATTTTTTCCCCCTCTGCATTGTCCCCTCTTCATCCTTTCTCTTCCTAGTCTGTCTGCTCCTGGTGCTTTTCCTAGAGTTGGTGAGGAGGAGCATGTTTCTGATGAATGGACTTAGACAAGCAGGGGAAAGTCAAATGTGCTATAGGTTGTAGTTTGGCCAACCTGTTTTACAGGGTAGATATGCAGTTGGGGAGGGAGAAGTGACGAGTCTTTATAACTAACTAGCAAATATTTTCCCTGGATGGTCTTTAATCGAGTTCTGAACCACAGCACAGTATGGGCTTATGTTACTACTGAACGATCAGCCAATCAGTTGTTTAAATGGACACTGACTGCTCCATTTTGCCACAAGTTGTGTTCTTGTAATTTGTACTGTACCAAGCGGTTTACTGGAGGTAGGCTTGTTACCTGGCGCAATGCAGCATCTGCCATTGCATGACTTGTGAGAAGGAATAAATAAGACATTATTTAAATAGAATAATATTTACAAAATGATTACAAAGCACTCATAGGTGCCTTATATTTAAATCTCTCTCCCGCCTAGATTTGTAAGGGGGGAGGTCAAAATGCTGTTTGTGCATTTCTAAGATGTAGTCACTTGCCACTCAAGGAACTTCATATAACTCAAGTGATGGGCAGGAAATTATGTAGAGCCACGAGTAAGTTTATAAAATGAGGTTCCTGTATCTCCTTTCTAACTTGCATACAGTTCAACAGTTTCAGCAGATGTATAAAACTTAATTGCCTAAATGTGACTACCAAATATGCATGTCATGTTATGGCCATTTCTTTATTCATGCAGGAGCACGTTTGTCAGATACTTAACATAATCGATCAGTATGTGCAAATCTGATGTATTAAAAAGCGCTCCTTAGTTCCCGTGAAGCTTTATTACAAAGGAAAATGAAGGAAGAAGTAGATAACCATGTAAAAATAGTAACTGAGAGAATATTTAGCAAAAGTAAAGATCAGAAATGAGCGAGAACTTGTAAAACAATATACTCAAATTATAAATATACCTTACTCAGGACTGATCCGGTAGCAAGTTTTTATTTAGCTAAATGATATCTTTAGATGTGATTTCAAATTTTAATTTTAATTAGGCTGGCACCTCTAAATGGGTCTCATTTTCAACTGCCCTAGGAAAAAGAGGAAAGATGTTTTAATAGGTAGCCCCCTTTTATGTATTTTATTAGAAATAAGTAAAATGTTAGAGGTTTAACTTTTTAGCTCATGTTTTACAAACTAATACCTGTGGATTTTGAGAGAGCAATGAAAAGGTAATAGTTTGGCTTCAGCAATAGTAAAATCAGACTTTTGGGGGGGAGGGGTGTTACAAAAGGCTACAGTGTGAATGACAAAGTTAACTGGAGCCAATGATAGTGAAAGGAGCTATTAGAAGATGCTTACCTGGGCTTCAGTCCAGCAAAACAGTAAGTCATGCATGATTTAAGCATGTGAGAAGTCAATGACTTCAGTGGGACTACTCACTCAGTTACAAACATGCTTAAGTGCTTTGCTGCATCAGAGTAATACAAAGGTGTGTTTGAGAAAGGGTTGTTGATCAGACAGAGGGCAATTGTAAGCGCACAAACTTTTTGTTGGACTGTTTGAATATCTGGTATTATAGGCACCAAATTGGGATGTAAGGTACATTGGTTCCCATTGCACCAGGCTCTCATAAATTGTTAGTTCCCTGGCTGCACACTTTGATTCTTTGAACATTTAGTCTGCACCTTGAAGGAAAGAGCACTACATCCTTTGTAACCTTAGTATAGTTACAGTCTACCATCTTTCCTCTATATAACCCCAGAGGTGATTTGCTGAAGTCAGGGGAAGCACAGTTGCAAATACCAGCCAGGCCCAGCTACCGTATGCATTGTGCATCCCATTTATTTACATTTATGTGGATTTCATTCTCTTTGCTTACAAATTTCAGTCATCCTGTCTTGTTTTATTTCAGATCATTGAGAAATGAATGAATAAATGGGCATGTGGAATCCATGTATCCCAAAAAGAATTGAAACCAAGTTTCCCCCTGCTGTCTTTAAGCTAAAATGAATTGCCAAATGAATTTTAAAAGCACACATAGAAAACTGATAGTGTGCACACAAGATGCATTTTGTTGGTCTTTAACTACCAAACTGTTTCCATAGGAATATTTTATTAAGCTATGAAAGGTTATGCAGTCTTTCAAACATTCATCAGACCAAGCAGAATTTCCCCTCAAGGCAAAGTGGGTTTTATAATCATGAGTGTTCTGTTAATTTATTTGTCAATCATAATTTAGGGTTTATGTATTGTGTAAATTTCTCATCTTTAGTGGTTTGATTTTAAGAAGTTTCCTTTACTGTAAATATCTATATATTTTTTCAATTACAGTTTTAATAAAGCAACTTGTTTTTTGTCATGCCAGTCAATCCCGTCTTAATGAAGTAAGTACTCACTTTATTATGGCAAACTTCAAATGCTAATTCACAGCTGTTCAGTCTTATAAATAGGAAATTTGAATTTATTTATTTTTGGTGGGAGGGGAGGACACAAGTGAAACAAATAGACTTTATTCATAACTGCTCATGTCCTATGTAAAAGTTATACAACTGAAATTGTTCTGCCACATGAATATTACTAAAATTGAGTGCAAAAGAGGGACATATTTCTGCCTTACAAATCAGGACACACTTTAATTTAAGTGAGCAAACTAGTCTCAAGCACACTTTTAATCAGCTGATGAAATCCTAGCTTTGTGTTGGAATTGACTTCTTCCGAGATATTCAATGGAGGGATC